GAGAAGAAGAGAGGCGAGCCGATACCACCGCGGAATCGTAAAGAGGGGCAGGCGAGAGAAAGTCAACAGAGCCTGGGATCTCTTCAGAAGCTGCAAGCAGAAGGCAGCGGCATGTATCCAGGCCAGTATACAACGGTGTGATCGACGATTTATGGAGGAACTTGGAAGAGCGGGAAAGAGTGCACCACAGCGCTTCTGGAGGAGACTACAGTGGGAGGCCAGGTCAACGAACCACACCCAGATATTGAAACAGCCGGAAACCGGAGCAGAGAGGTTGGGTATACAATGCATACCCCTCATAGAAGAATGGTATGGGAACATGATCGGGGCAGAAGAACCAATGTCTGTGGAGGGAGATCAGGAAATCCCTGATGTGGACGATAAGGACCAGGGGCCGCCGGCAGAGCTTAGAGTAAGACCCACAGATGGGGAGCTATCAAGAGCGGCACGGAGGATCGACGCAAAGACTGCAATGGGAAGAGACGAAATCCCCATGTCACTTATTCAGGGTCTGGGACCTAGCATGCGAGCCTTGGTGGCAGAAAACCTCACAGAGATCCTCGCGGATGCCCAAATACCGGAGACATGGAAAGAAACAAGAATGAAGCTCTTGTACAAGGGAAAAGGCGAAAAGGCTGATCTCGGTAACTACCGGCTGATTAGCATCACATCAGTGCTTTACAGAATGTGCACTCAGATTATCAGAACGAGACTGCAGAAATGGGCCGAGGAAACGGAAGTGCTGGTAGAGCTGCAAAACGGTTTTCGAACAGGAAGATGCATAGAAGACAACCTATTTGTGGTAACACAATGCATCGAAGTGGCAGCCCAGGAGGGCAGACCACTTTACGCAGCTTTCCTGGACATTTCCAAGGCATATGACACGGTGGACCGGAACATACTCTGGAGTCGACTTCGAGGGCTAGGAATAAACGAGGCAGATGTGAATCTGCTGCAGGCACTGTATGCTGGGGTCTCAGTGCGGATTGAGTGGGAGGGCCACATGACCAGGCGTCTACCAGTACCCAGGGGCCTGAGGCAAGGATGTCCACTATCCCCCTTGCTATTTATGTTGTATGTGGCACCGTTGGAGAAAGCGCTGGAGCAGTCGGGTGTGGGCTTCGACCTATCATACAGAGTGGAGGGAGCCTGGAAGCGGCAGAGAATACCGGCCCTCATTTACGCCGATGATGTGGTGCTCCTTGCCAACTCGCCTGAGGACCTCCAGGTGCTTCTGGACATATGCGGGGAGCTCGCCACGCATTTTAGACTCCGTTTCAACCAGAGGAAGAGTGCGGTCCTAGCCTGGGGAGACCGAGATGGACCGAATCGGGAACCAGAGGAACAACGGTGGCACCTGCAGGGAGGGAGGTTGACAAGACAAAACACAGTCAAATACTTGGGAGTGACCCTGACTGCGGAGCCCGACTACCTGAAGGTCCATGAACGAGAGAAGAGATTGGGAGCGATAAGGGGGAAAGGAGTCCTGGCGAAGAAGAGCACCTGGACGTTCAACAGGTTCGAGGTGGTGAGGGGTCTATGGAAGATGGCCATCGTTCCGGGACTCACGTACGCAAATGGCGTACTCGTCCTCTCATCGCAAACAAGGGCCTTCCTGGAGAGAAGACAGAGGGATGCGGGAAGAATGGCCTTGGCAGTTTCAAGAACAGCACCCAACGAGGGTGTCCAGGGGGACTTGGGCTGGTCGTCCTTCGAGGCCAGAGAAGCCAGCGCCAAGGCACTGTACGAGAGGAGAGTGCACAGACTCCCGGATGGGAATTGGGCCCACCGTACCCTGCGCTACATGATATACCAGGGAAGAGGCACCAAATGGATGCACCGCCTCCGAAGGCTGCGGGACCGCTATGGTTTTGAACCGATCTGTCTGGAGTCAGCGGGCGAGAGCCGGGAGGGCCCAGCGGCAATCAGAAAGGGCATCCGAGCAGTGGAGACGGAGAGATGGAGAGAGGGAGCGGCGGCGAAGCCGTCCCTCGCGATGTACTGCGCGGAGAAGGAGGCCATAGGGAAAGAGCCCTGGTACGACAACTCGACAGGCAGTGGACTCCTCGCAGAGGCCCGCATGGGCACATTACGGACCCGGGTGTGGAGGGCCAGGTTCACGGAGGGACAGGAGAGGACGTGCACACTCTGCGGGCAGACCGACGAGACGATGGAGCACCTAGTGCTGCAGTGCCGGCACATTGTACCGGTCCCAAGTACAGAGGTGCTACCTGTAGCACTCGGTTTCCGAATCGGTGCAGAACAAGGAGAGGAAGAACAAAAGAACGTTCGATCGGCGGTAGACGCGACGAAGAGGCGGCTGGAGGTCTGGTGGAGGGAGACGCATCGGCGGAGGGAATGCAACCGATCAGCGGAACATCAAGCGGAAGCGGAAGTCGCGGGAGGCGCGACAGGCTAGATCCAGTACTTGTTGCTGTTGATCACCCGATACAAAGGGAAGAGCCGCAGACTCCAATCCAATCCAATGGCCGAAGCGTTGTTAGCTATTTGAGTCATGGCTTACTCGGCGGCTCCAACAGACTAAAATTTAATTCTAACATGGCACCCACAGTCGTCTTTATCTCTGGGCATAAATCCGAGCAATCCATCCTCTCCTTGAGACGCCTCCTTCTTGCCAGTGCTAGAGCAAAGCACACAAGAAGCTGTTGTTTATCAATGACATCCTGTGGCAGCGGGGACACTTTTCCGTGCTTGGTGACAACAAATCCGGCGTCGCCGCTGGCCGCTGTACCGGGCAGTGAATGCTGCCGAGCATAATGTATCCCCACCCCTTGTGGCACTGTGAGCTACAATACACAATCTCTCTTTATTCTATGTCTGTGGTTGCCACAGGTTCCGGTATCTTGGTTCGTCGGAGAGTTTGGAGGCTGGGACCTAAACTCTGCGTTCCAGCACTTGTCTTCCCCCTTGGGGGGTGGTATAGCATAAGTGGTGGGAAACAACGACAAAGAAAATCACAAACGCCACAGATCTTGATCGGCGACACATTCTATTTGGTGGGAAAGGCCGTTCCACTCCGAAGCTGCACAGGGAAAGAATGAGGTGAAAAAGGTAGTTGTGCAAGTACGTGGGCAAGAAACTTGAAGTGGACGACGAGTGTGTTTTGGGATACGACACAGGGTGCATGGGCAAGCGACCGAATGATTCAAACTTTCAAAACAAATAAAGGCTGGTGATGTGGCGATGACAAGAAAGATTAGACCTGATTCAGCTTTCAATCGTAATATATGTAGACTATGAATATGACGAAATAATAAATTTAGTGGGGCAAATTTTAATTGATGCGGGTTCCAGATTGCAGGTGTATATTCGAGATTTGATCTAGTAAATGATTTGAGATAAGATTTAAAGGAGTGCTCCAGGCCAGAGCTTAAAAATCTGATAAGTATCAAAGAAAATTGTGGCAGGTTGTTGACATTCACACATTGTTCTCAAGACTATGTCGCTAGATGTACAATGTACACACTATGCTATGGTTAGTTACGGTGATAGATGTTAGCAGTATTTATTTTGACTTCATAACGTGCTATGCCATAGGGAGGCTGGTAGACTGTACATATCTGTTTGGGGAACCACACTGCTGAAGAAGGCAACCGTTGCGCAAGTATACAGGATAGCAGCTGTTGGAAAGTCTTTTCATCGGAAGGTGTTGGTCTTTGCTCCTGGTGGTGAGAGAGATGGAATTAGCAGGGCTTAGTAGTGGCATATGCATTTGAAGGCCATCCTAGGATCTGCAATGATGGCCATTGGTGCAGTGCTCTCTGTGAAAGGTCTATCATGCGAGTAACCCACTTCAGGGAGTCCTGGTGTTATGTTCCCAACAGCTAAGTGGTGATTGTTTTATATAGCTTATTCACGCAAAGGAAGCTATACAAAGCAACATACTCTAAGCAACTGTCAGGGCATCAAACATGCTAAAATCGAGTTTCTTTTAGATATAGAATATTGCATTCTTTTTAAGCTATAGAACTGGACTTGAAAATAGTGAGTTGGCTGGCTGCCAAGGACCTGCGTTGTTGGTCAAAGTGCAGCTGCCAAAAACAGAAGACTTCGCCAGCAGCGCTTTGAAACCACGACAAAAAAAAATTGTGAAGGTGGGACCGGAGTTTGCGTCTTGTGTTTCTCATAGAACGCAATTCTGCATATTAGCTAGGGTTTGATTAATAAATCAAACTACAATTCGTGTAAAAAAATATGGTTTGGTTTACGGGATCGAGCGCTCAGCGGCTCAGCCACTGCCCAGAGCGATGAGCGAGGAGATTATGGAATCACGGCTACATCCTGCATCTGGTTCGGACCGGCGCTCGTGAATTCGTGCCACCCCCCCCTTCCTCCCCTTTTGCCTCTTTCCACTTTAGCAGAACGAACGCTGAAGAGAAGGTCTCCCCCTCGAGATCTCCAGTGTTCACTTTGCTAAGGTGGAAGAAGTTAGGAGGAACTTCCCCTGAACTCCTACGTGTGGGGTACTATCGCCCCCTGCCACTCTACCTTTCACCTCATCTTCCGATGACTGTAACGTCGAAATCCTTTGATATCGCACCGATATGGAAAACAGGACGCCAAACGTAGCCAGGAGGAATAAACGTCTTTATTTGCCTGCACAGCTAGGTCAAGCCTAGCCGGTGCGGCCCACACCATCCGACGCCCCAGCGCAGGGGGCCCGAGGTCGGACCTGCCTGCGCAGTAGACGCCGGGCCTGCTGGACGACCGCTACCTGGAGGTCCAGGCTACTAGCCATCGTAGCACCGTCGCGCTCTTTTGAATTTGGCGGACTCTGGAAGCACAGTGTGACCAGACAAGTCAAGGAATTTCATTGCCAGGAAAATATAACTGTATAACTCTTAACTAAAACCCAGCCAATGTTTTAGTGGCATAAAATTTATGTTTATGAAAACTTAAAATAGAAGCACATTGTTAAGAAGACAAGAAAATAAAAAAGAAACAACGCTGCTGCACTTGTTCTGCTTGTTGTTTGGGAATCCAACACAATCCATGGCCTTGTAACTCAAAGATGGCGGCTTCCTTGGAAAATGTGCTGTCGCGGCTCCTCATCCCCGACAATGCCGTTATTATGCAGGTGCGTCGTCGACGTTTGTCACTCGTTCACTATGTCCGTTTGTTCGTCACGAATGAGCCCACCGCGGGACAGTCTATCGCGGATCCCCCAATGTCCTTGTTCAGCTACGCCTACGCCGCTGGCCCCATGTGCTCACACACGTCACTGGCGTGCTCACTTCCCAAGTGTAACCTCTCGGTCACTGCACACGTGTTTCGTACACATATATCAATAATTGCTTAGCTTTTGCAGACGGCTCGCGCGGATTGTCGTCGACACTGCCGTGTCGACGTGTAACATCGTTAGGACGGCAGGCTGTTATCGTCGAGTGCCGCTCCTTCAAATGTCACTCGTATCCGTTGTAGAGTTGCTTACGTCAATCACATTACCACGAACCGAATAAAAAAAGGATATATATATATATATAATGGGCACAGTTATAGCGTTAAAAAATTGCAATTCATTCTATCGAGTAGTAAAAAAATGCAGCGGTGCGCGCTGCGGACAGAGGTGTCGCCGGCGGTCAGTGACCCTGAAAGTTCATTCGGTCTGTCCATCACCCCAGCACGCCGCGTGCCATTTTCGAATCGAGGGCATACCTTGGGAACGGAATGTCCGCTGGTTTCTGGGGCGCATTCTGTCTGTGAGAAGATGCCGTCGGTTGTCGGGGATTGTTGTTGAAGCAGGGGCCGATTTGCCACAAGCGCGGGCTAAATGAGGTTCCATCGCAGACTAATTTTTTTCTTTCTTTCTTTCACCGGGCATATCGCGAGACATTGAGTATTTAAAATCGGCGATTTGCGAGAAAATTAAAGGAAACATTCCTTTGACTTCCAGAGGTTGTATGCTGCTCATACTACTAATTCCTGGCCATCTAATATGTGCCCCTTCAGGAGTTGCTCATTGTGTGATACCGTTGGAAGCATACACGAATGTGGAGAGCAAAAAAACATAATCTGGAAGCCTAGTGAATGTTTCCTTAAATTTGAAACGAGCAACAGAACCCGTATGAGGCCGAGCAATAGAAATCCGCTCAATAAAATTCACCCTCCGCGTTTCTTAGTACTGCCGCCAACGATTGCGCGATGTGCAAGACACGAGCGAGTGCTTTGCCGCCATTCACCTTCATGGGCCGCTCAATTTAGTGTTGTGCCACCATTTGCTTCCAAAGGCCACACGACGCGCGGACCTTGTGCATCAACACATTTGACCAGTGTTGGGTAAAGTACAACTAAAAAGTACTTGAACTAAAGTACAAAGTAAATGAGAGCTTATATACTTCAAGTAAAGTAGTAGACACACCAGGTGCAATGTATTTGAAGGGAAGAAGTAAACACACCAGGTGCAATGTATTTGAAGGAAAGAAGTACACCGGCTGCAATGTACTTGAAATAAAATACTATAAATACAATGTACCGGTACAAAGCAGAGCACACATACTTTTTATACAAACTTTTGATTCGCCCTTTAATTCCCCTGTAGTGTTATTTATAACTGGTATGCCTTGCCCCAGGGGTAATAGGGGGGGGGTGCATAAGTTATTTTCGGAAACGGCAGCGAACACTGGGGAAGTCAAGTGGCCACGGATTAGATATTTTCGGAAATGGCATCAAATTCAGAAGTTTCTCCGACTTCTGACTGTGGCGCCACTTGCACGTTGGCCCCATAGCTTCCGCAAGTAACACTCTCGTGAAGGAGTGTCCTATCCTAATATTTTTAACCTCCTTGCTTGCGCTGACTGAGCAAGAAGTAAGGAGAGTTTGAAATGCTGCTACCCCCCCCCCCCCCCCCCCCGCCCCCCCCCCTTGTACAAATAGAGCAATGCGTTGTTTGCTCAGAATTCTGGTGAGAATAGATTATCTCAAAATATCCATTTTAATATTTTTTAAGAGTTGGCAAAGCATCATTTTGTGATACAAATTTAACCAAATTTTGGAATGCGCTTTGAAGTAGGAAGTGGTGCTTTCTTCAGAAAGTACCAGGAAATATACTTTAAGTAAAGTACAGGCACACACGTAAAATCCCGAGATAGCCCAACTAACATTGAGAGCAAATCGCCTGAAAATATGAAGTGGGCTAGCTTTTGGTCTACAATCAAGAAAAGTAAAAAAAAATTGCTATTTTTAGGTTGGGTCTTTTCCAAGCTTGTTATAGTGGCAAGGAGCTATGAAGCAAAGATGGCTGTCCCTCCCAGTCAGCAACGTTTGCTTATATCCCGCCATAGCTAATTAGCCGCATTTACGCCGAGGCCATCACTGATCCCAACACTACTATTACTAAGAGTGGGCTATCTCTCTGTGTTTAAAAAAATATAGCAAATGGAGCCAAAAAGAAAAGTGGGCTATCTTATGGGGGTGGGGCATCTCTGGGAAGTTCACAGTACTCAGAAAATGTACTTCAAGTAAAGTAAACATTTTTTTTAACCTACTTGAAGTAATACTTTAAGTGCAACGTACTTAAAGTACTTCCCAACACTGCATTTGATGCTACTTGTGCTTTAGAGCAATAGCGGTAGCACTGCCCGAAAGTGCACAAAACAAGCTCCAAAACAGGAACATGAGCCATGCTCACGGCCGGGCTTTCTGGTTCGTAATGGATGGCACGTCTGACACTTGCGATTAAAAACCAAGGGCTAAATGTGTGTTGCTAAATAAATTGCAGCTATGTTTCAGACTTGTTCTGTTGTCTCTAATGTTTCATTATTTCCATGTATCTCGGCTCTAGTGGACTGCATCAATCAGTTTCTTGATTCTGTGTATATCTGCTATGTGCACAATAATAATTGTGTTTTGTGTATGTTTATACAGCCGGAAGTTAGTCAGGCTGAACGGGCGTCCAACTTCTCGCGGCCGTAGTTGAGCAATTTGGCCAGTGCGGTACAACCGCTAGCCTGGGGTCTTTAACGTGCACCACGCAGTAGTGGTATACGACCGTACGCCGGTACGATGCTCATCCAGATCGAAATGGGCATGGGGGGGAAGGGAATGAGCATGGATTTCTTGGCTTCTGTAGCATGAGCCTTTCGCTACATGTGCTCGAAGCTGAGGTGCGCTAACCCGCTCAGCCACCGATCCTCTTATTTGCGTAATCACTTTCCGAGTCTTTTCAAAGTTTCAGTCTGTGGTATTCAGGGGTAGTCAAAGTCACTAACAGCAGCTACTAAGAAAATTAAGAGGCTTCTGTTTCGCTTCTGTCTATTGCAATATTAAAATAATTAGACATTGTATTGACCAGGGCCAATTAATTACTCTCCCAATTAGAATTCTCAAACCAACGTTAGTCAACCCACCCCAGCAAGGTCTAAGGTTTCTAAACTGACTGCCAACACATATTGATATTGGAGTTCGAGAGTCTTTGGTCCTCTTTTTCTTTTGCTTTGGTCGAGGGAAGAAGGGAAAAACCTTTTTATTGGAATTCAGGGCCTCAGATAATCTGTGCTAGCACAAAAGGGACACATGGGAAGCCCGACATACTTTAATATCTTGGGAGATGGCCCATCTTCAATCAAAAGAAAACCGGGAAAAAATAAGAAGTAAGCTAACTTATAATTTGCAAAAAAAATAGTAAAAAAAAATGCTGTTGTAAAATACCGAGTGAGCGCCCACTCAAAATTTGAAGATAATTGCGAAAAAATAGGGGATGGGCGCATGTGAGCTCATCAGTTTTACATATATATGTACTGTGCATATTTTTTCAGATGTTTCAAATTTTGGGGTTGGGCGTCTAGTGTGGAATGGGCGGATGCATGGTATTCTACGGAAGTTTTAGAGCTTATGACCAGCGGAACTTCTGATTGCAGTGAGGGGCGATGAACCAAAGACGACTGTCCTTTCCAGTCGGCTATGTTTGCTTATTTATCTCGTGCCGTGGCTTAATAACATAATTCCCGCCGATGTCATTATTGGCCGGGGCTCTGCAATTACTAAAAATAAACCATCTTTTGGCATATAAAAAAAAAAATAGCATATCATGTCAAACATATGGGTGGGTAATTTTTTCTCTCGGGATATTAGAGTAGGCCATTGAAGCTCGACAGAGAGAACAGGAACTTTACTCCATTTACCGCTAATTTGACAGGGTGGTAAAAGACATGTGCTCGTTGAACACTGTAGGTTTCACACCAGATGATCATGCTCTCTGCGCACACTCCCACTTCAAGGGCGGGATCAGGTGATGAAAAGCAGGTGATCGATTAGTTTGGCGAGCACGTAGCTCCCACCACTTTGTCAACTTAGCGATGGAAGGGGATGCAGCTTCCGTGCCCCCTTCTTGGGAGTGCGCACATTCTACCCAGTACCCTTTGACTAGTTGCTCTGAAAATGATGGATTTGATATTGAAACCTTAATTTGCGTGATTTTTTTGAGCCTCGAGACTATTCTGCACCTGAGTATTATCGGCAAACATCCACAATTCGTTTCGGTTTTTCCAACTTTTATGTGATCTCCATTTCTGGACTGTGACCGATAAAGGCAGTCCTGGCTCGCCAAGGCTGCCATCGCCTAGGGTGAAAATATTGTTTCTCCATTGCCATCTCGGTCCAACCTTTCCGATCCCGCACAAATTTCAGCAATCATACCACACTCTTTAGACTTAGAGTAACATTTTCAATTGATCGATGCAGGCCACCCACGAGCTGCGAGAGCTATACAAGGACCCCAACATTGCCCAGTACCTGTATGCCACGCTCTGCATGGCACAGATTCCACAGGTGAGTGGCTACCGTTTCCAAACCGACCTTTTGTCCCCTTGCATCAGATGAAGAGAGGACAGTGGCTGTTTCCCTTGTGACGTGTGGTAACTAGCACCACCTAGCTTCGGTCATTTTCTCATGGATCGTTCCACATTTAGTTGTGAAACGCTGTTTTGTGTGCCGAGGCTTTTTTGTTCCCGGGTTTGTGATGCAAAAGTGTTAACTGTATTATGGAGCGAAGCCTGCGTTGTCTGTAACTGTCTGTAGCAGCGAAACGGCAGTTGATTTCCCACTGGCCAAAAGCACGGCAATTGAATTCCTATTGGCCAAAAGTAGAGCAATGCGGATGCTTTGTCACGGAAGCCGGCGGGGCGCTCAAGGTCAAAGCGGACGTGCCTCAGAAAAAAAAATAATGAAGTAAAACACACAGAAAAGCACAGTAACGGAGATGCTGGAGATGCCTCCATGGCCTCTGTGACGGAGGCCAGGGAGGCAGTGGGGTTCGCCGCGCCTGCGCAGTGGGGGGTGTAATGTCACAGCTGGAGGGTATATGGCTCCATAGCAATGGCATCATCGTTGCTAAGGAGCAGGAGGGGGGGACGCTGGAGCGCCGTGTGCGAAAGGAAGACGTTGTGCGCTGCTTGTGGAATGTGCTTTTGTATTCCTACGTGTAAGCTTTCTCAAGTGTCCTCTTTAGTCTTTTATATTTTGCATAATGCAGGTGCAGGGAACCCGAGTTACATTTTCAGGCTTAAATTCATGGAGCAGCCAGGCTTTCTTGTATCCAATCTTACTATTTGGCTTTTTATTTAATTTGCCTTTTCTGTTTAGGGTGAAAAACCTCACTTCGCCTTCGTCGAGGCGTTTATGCAAGACCAAAAATTGGTGTATCTGACCTGTAAGATGGTTTATACCTGATCTTTTCTGCTAGAATGAGTGACCTTTGTCAGAATTCCCTGCTATGCATAGTATAAATATACTGGGGGGCATTTCTCTGTTTTTTTTTGGCTGTTCTTTCAATGTTTTACCCATGCTATGAATTTCAGAGTTGTGCTGAAAGTATGTGTGTTTTGTATGTTCTCCTTCTTTAGAGCACAGCTCTTAGGTGCCCGTTTCCATGTTTTGTGGCGTCAGCGTAACTGTGCTAAATTTAGCGTGATAATTGACGCTACGTGACCTCAACAGCAATTCAATTACCCCGCTAATTTTAACGGGGAAAATGATGTCACATGACTTGGTATCACGTCACCTATGAACAAATTAAATTTCTTTGCTCGATTTTGTGTGAAAATTGACCGTCACGTTACCTCAACACCAATTTAATTCCCCGCTAAACTTAGCGGGGAATTGAATTAGTAGGTGGAGGGGGGGGGAGGGCCGTGCCCTTCCCTCCATACCTTTTCCTCCTCCTCCTGAAGAGCTGCACTCTAATTTCGCATTACAGAGATTTGTAAACGGCTTTCATTTTTTTTTTGTGTTCCTTAGTATTGCAGTGTGACTCATTGTATTGCACTCCCCCCTCCCACCCCTCCCATGTAATCCCCTAACACACCTTTTGGGTGTATAAATGCATAAATAAACGAATATTCTAATGTTCTCAAGAAAATATTTTAGATATTGCCATGCCATTTTCAGAAAAAAAAAAAAATTGCGCTTAACCCTTGTTTTTTAGAAAATGATTTAAAGGTGCATATATGTCTCAGTAATTTGGGTTATTTTTGGAAATGAAAACTGGTGTCGAGAGCCCGTCTTCCGTGTCTCTCACGACAACAGGTTCGGCAGTACTCGGCCGTCCTCCTAAGGAAAAAGATCTGCAAGACCAAGGCGTGGAAGCAGCTGTCAGAAGAACCCAAGACTGCGTACGTTCCACCTGGTGAATCGTTCACCATAGTCACTAACAGCGCAAGAAACGCGGGACGTGGCTTGTTACGGTCCCGGCTTCCGCTCGGTGCTTTGGCGTTCGTGTCGGCCAACGCCGCAATCCGATTGGCTGCAGGGCGGTGATGGGAAGCTCGGGACTTGCCGCACCCCGCGTTTCTTAAGCCTTCAGTTACTATGTCGATTTTCATCGGTCATTTCGTCGGTGACTAGCTCCGACGAAAAGACGTCGTCCCCTTTGGTCCCCAAACTACTGCCCGGCACGGGCAAGTGTTTGAAGAGATCCCCCTCCGGTAGCAGACGAGCGTGGCTGGTGTTTTGCTTGCACTGGTTGTTGCAAAGTTTGGGCTTTGATACATTGCAAAGAGAAACGCTGGTTTTGATAATGCCGAGAACTAAGCGGTGACTTCACGGGGGGGGTTCAAAAACTTTGAAAGACCTTTGAGTTTGAAAGTGCCATTTTCAAGTCTTTGAAAACCCTGGGATTTTTAACGGTGCTGTATGAACCTTGTGAAGTGATAACAAGCTGGGCTTACCCTATACCTAGGGTTCCGCGTTTTCGGTGTTTATTTGTTTTCTTGAAATTGGAGGGGTTTTTTTTTTCGGGGTTTACTTTTCTCCTACAGGTTCGGTGTTTTTTGTGTAAATCGGTTTTGACTTAATCAATTTATACAAAAAAAAAAACAAATCTGTTGAAGAAAATAAAACGCAAAAAAAAAAAAAAAAATGCCCCCAATTTTGAGAAAAATATAAACACCGAAAACGCGGAATACTGCTTATACCTGAAAACGTAATAGTCAAGGTAACACGGCATATTGGTTTTAAAAGCCATTTATATATGTATTCCTGTCGTTTCAGCCTGAAGAACAATCTGCTGCAGCTGCTGACTTCTGAAAAAGAGTATGGCTCTTTGTTTGTCTTTGCTTTAATCCTGCTAGTTAGCATATTCTGTTAGGGGTAGTTTTGCAAGCAGCTGAGCTAGGTGGTAACTTAGCAGCTTTGTGATAGCTACAATAGATATGCTAGATTTGAGGTGTGATGGTTAAGTATGCTAGGTATGTACGCTGCAGCATGCCAATTATCAGTATGCATATAAAGTTAGTGCGAGCTGTATGGTGCAAAGTAAACATTTCCAGTTTTAGCGACCATTCTCAACCTTCAAAATGTCAGATAAGAGACAAACTTCATTTGCTGGATCCGTGAAAAAAATAGTGTACTAGTTTGTAACTACAAAGAAAAAGAAGAGACTAGAATAAGCTATTTAAAGATCTCTAACATTTACAACATTATTCCGGGGTATAATATACATGTTTTTACGTAATTTATATTGAAGTGATGCCTATATTCGAAGCTATCACTTCTATATTAATTTCTGCTACGCCATTTAGTTTGGACATCTCCAGTCGTAAGTTGCAGTTGAAATATGGAGGCTGACGCGCGAATGTGTGTGCAGGAAGCCAGTGGTGCAGGCGATTGGGCAGCTGGTGGCCGTGATCGCGAAGCACGAATGGCAGCAGTCGAGGCAGTGGGCCGAGCTGCAGCAGTTCATGAATGTGCTCACACAGAGCAAGGACCTGGAGCAGTGCAGGGTGAGGGATGCTTTTTGTCTATCTCTCTTTCTCCTTCTTTGTGCTTTTTCTCCCTTTCTGTTTTTGTTCCCTTCTCCTCTCTTTCCCCTTCTGCTCTGTTCTCTCTCTCTCTCCTCTCCTCTCCCTTGCTCACTGTCTTCTTTCTCTATATTATTTCTCCTTTCCTCTTTAGCCCTTTCTTCCCCTCTCTCTTTCCCATTCCTCTCTACTCTCTCCCCCTCTCCTCCTCTCCCTATGTCTCTCTACTCCCCCTCACATTGAGGTTGAAATTCATCGACACCTCCTCGACAACAAGACGATGAGTGCCCTAGTGCCGGACTTTCTGTGTCACCTGCTGGAGCAGCTTGGTGCACGGTATGGATTGGACATGAGCTGCGTCGGCACGCGGCCGGGACGCGCGTTCAGTCTATGGGTCCCATCCAAAAGGCGATGCAGAACTCGAACCTAATCTGTACCTTGCGTGGGCCTCTAATAGGTCTGGTCATCTAAAAGGTGTTGACTTCATTTTCTAGACCTTGTAACCGAAGCGACTTCGCCCTCGCGACTGAAGCAAAACTTGCGCAGGCGGCGCCGCAACGTCCCCTGCTGCTTCAGCACCGACTAATAAACATCTTTGAGGGCGGGTCACTTCAGAGGAAGAAATCTCCTGAGGAGCAACGTGTTTTAATTGAAATAAAGGACGAGTTGGAAGAGGTTACGTAAAATGGGAGAAATTTATGGAAGAAATTTCTCCATGTAAAGATCACTTAAATTTCTGTCTTCGATCGCTTACGAAGGACTGTCTTTTGTGGCATCGGTCTTTATTCTTTATTCTTTATTCAATGATTACCCCGCAGTGCCCGAGGGCGTTACAGCAGGGGGGTTACAAGGATGAAAAGAACACGTCTTCATTGAAACAGCACACTTGCTCTTCAGACAGCCGATTCCACTGTGCAATTGTTCGTACAAAAAAGGAGTTTGCAAACATGCATGTCCTAGCGCGGTACTCTCTAATTTTAAGACTATGATCATTACGACTAGAAACATAATAGGGTTCTTTTAAGTAAGTCTCGCTATTTATTCCCGTTTTATTTTTAACTATTGAGTATAAAAATTTTAGTCGCAGTTTTTCCCGACATACGGAAAGTGGTTCCCAGTTTAACATTTTTTTCATTTCTGTACAACTTTCTTTCCTCCCGTATCGTCCAAGAACAAACCTAGCCGCCCTGTTTTGTATTTTCTCCAGCTTATCTATCAACGTTTTTTGGGCTGGATCCCAGACAGCACATGCATACTCTAAAATGGGTCTAACACATGTTAAATAAGCAGTTATCTTTAAGTTAGGTTGTGAGCATTTTAAGTTACGTTGAATAAAATTCATTGCCCTGCCAGCTTTTAAGACTACTTCCTCTATGTGGGCATTCCATGAACAGTCAGATGACAATATGACACCCAAGTATTTGTAAGTAAGTTCCTTGGTTATAGGGTTATTATTTATAAAATACTGAGATTCAATTTGTTTCCTTTTCTTTGTAAAACAAAGGTTAACACACTTTTTGTGATTTAAATTCATTTTCCACGTAGAGCACCAACTTTGAATACGATCAAGGTCTGCTTGCAACTGGGCGACATCATCTGAACTCTTAATCTTTCTATACACTACACAATCATCAGCAAAAAGTCGAATACAAGAGGAAATTCCAACAGAAATATCATTAATATAAATTAAAAACAAAAGTGGACCCAGGACAGAGCCCTGTGGAACTCCTGATGTTACATCAACGTAATTAGATTTCTTGCCATTCAGTACTACACATTGACGACGCTGGAACAAGTAATTTTCTATCCTTCTAAACACAGCCGAGTCTAGATTTAACATTCTTAGTTTGTTGAGAAGAAGTGAGTGTGAGACCGTGTCTCACACTCACTTCTTGTCGTTGGAATTGTCCTTTCGCCAGGTCTTTTCGTCGGCCCGTTCTGGTTTCGGGCCCGACGTCAAAGGCCAGCCTTTGTCTCTCTTCTGTGAACTTGTAGTCAGCCTCTGCCAAACAGGTCTTGTTTCTCCTCTTTTTGCTTTCTTTTTTATCTCTTCTCTTTTCCTTCTCCCAGTAAATGCACGAGATCCACGCAGAAAATACACTGAAGCGTTCAACCTTACGACAGTGGCAAATTTCTAGTGTGTAACGGCGTGTTCTGTGAATTGCCTCGATTCTGACGAAAGCAAATATATGTGTTACTAATTCCGAGATGCCAAAACGGTGGAGAAACTCTAGCTTTTACGGCGCTCCAAAGGTTCGGAAACATGAAGACGCACAAAAGTATGTTCCACGAGCGAAACGAGTAGGCGAGCGTGGCCGAAACTCGCAACATTCCAAAACGGCAAATACCATGTCTCCCTTGCCTCTACGCCATGGCTCGTGCCGCAGGCTCGCAGCACAGAACTCTGCCTGTTCTGAAATTGAAAACGAAAGTGAAACGAGAGCGCTCGGAAGATCACGACCGCTTGGATACTCGTCGAGCTGCAAAATTCAAGCAGGAGTGGCACAGTCAAAGCAAACAACATGCAAAGAGAGATGGAGTCATTCACGTTGGTACAGGTTAGACCACGTGAGAAGCGCAAGGCGGATGCCGCGTCCCCCGCTCGTCCTCCACGCATTTTCTCGTTGTCGTCATTGTTGTTTCCCGTTCTGCAGCTTGGCTTCCACATTGTGGGTGTGGTGGCCTCTGTGGCTCCCGAGGTGCTCAAGCCCCACCTGGTTCCCCTGCTGGCCCTCTTCGGGGGTTGCTTGCAGACGTGCGCCGATCAGCAGCTCTGCCTCGACGTTGTCAAGTAAGGCCACATTGAATTTGGTCTCTGTATCTCTATTAAAAAGTGAGACGTTCCTTGGCTTGGTGTTCGGCATTTCGTGAAGCTCAAAAGTGAAGCCTAGATAAAAGTATGGCCGCGATGCTCGACACTGATTGATTGACAAGTGGGAGAGGAGGAATGAGGTGCTTGACGTGGATTGGACTAACAGGGAGGTCCTGGGACCAGAGGGGTAGGCGAGGAGGTGTGAGGTAGACGAGGAGGAGCTCTACCACCTGTGCACACCGAGGGAGAGGAACTAGCGAGCATGGAAGGCTCTGGAAGATTGCCAGGTTTATCAGCTCAATTATAGCCAATTCACAAGACGGACCGAATCGCGATTTTCGTCTGCAGACCGTGTACCTCGTCACCGTCACGTCGCCGATTCCTGCGATCCGCATCTTGTCTGCGGACGCGCAGACTGATAAAGTCTAGCGCCTTTTCACTCATGGGCGTTTTGGCGGGAGATTGACTTGTAAAGCGTCTAGCACAATGTTGTCTTGTTTTTTTTTTTTGTTTTTTGGACGATTAAAACAAAAATGGCACATCGTTGTGTTTTGTGCATTAACTGGTTCATTTTGTCTCGCGATTCTTGATTCTATACGTGAAAGAAACTGAGGAAACTTCGTTTGGTTGACGCGACGCAGGTGGTGCTTCTCCTCCGGGTTCGTGTCAAGAAGCTTCCGTCAAAACTAACTTGTCTAGCACGCCGCGATAATTCTTGCACATCCAATCAGGCTTTTACCGAGCAAGACCTTTTTTGTGGCTGTGTTGTACTTGAGTGTTGTGCACGAGCAGAACCATGCCTGTGTCACTGTCATGCATTGGTTTAGTAAAGCTAGTGGCACTTTGTGCGAAGCCTATCGCGGTGTTCTGTCCTGGTCTGTATTTAGCAGCAGCGCACGATTCTTTATCGCGGTAGCAAACATCGATTTCTGTCTTGAACAACGGTGCCACAGTGGAGTTTTGCGGCACTGTGGGGTCTGCTCATTGTCTCCCTCGTGTGGATGTGCTTGGGAGACGACGAATCGCCGTCACGTGATCAATCCATCCACAGATCAGTCCGTCGTGTGAATCGGCCATTAGCGGGTATTGCTTCATTATAGAAACAACTGTCAAGTTCGCACATGGAATGCATTAAACTCTCTGATGAAGAGCATAATGAACCTAGGTGTCTGGCATCTGGAGACTCGGAGTACCGCTAGACGTTTCTGATGCTATAACGTTCCACATGCCACATGTGCACCACAATTGCCTAGCAATTTTCCATACATTTCTTAAATTAGAGTACAGTAAATCGGGCTCACGGTAATGCTTTTCGTGTTTATTGATTCTTCTGAGATCCTAATGTATTCCATTTGAGGAAACGTGATTATAGTCCATTGCAACTCAAGATGGTAGGGCGAGGCAAAGGAAGGCCGGGGAAGAGGAAGCTGACGAAACGCTAAAGGGAGAAAGTTTCCGCTCTCTCCTCTCCAGCGTTCCGTCTGCTGCCTCCTCTGCGGCCTCCCTTTTCCTCGCCCTACCTTCTTGAGTTGCGACGGACTATAGTATATTTTCCTTCTCTTAAAAACTCTTAAGTTGAGTTTTTTTTGGTTTTTTTTTGCTCACTAGCAGTTCAATCAAAACATCACTTTGCTAAATCTAGTTTTAGTGATACGGTAACCAATGTTTCACTAAAACTAGAGTTAGTTGATTGGTACTTACCACACTTGGACTGGCAAGGTGACACAACATAGACAATCTGGATGCCGAATTGTCTGTGTCCCCTGAACTTCGTTAGGTCACATTTTAACCATACTATTACACTTCATTCTACTTATTTAGATTTCCTCATAGACAGAGAAAGGGTACTTCAAACATTGCTAAAACCGACAAAGTCAAATTAAGGCAAACATTAGTGTATTAGAAATTTGCCTGTAAGCAATATAAAGACCCTGTTATAATTTCGTCCATATCTCTTGGCAAATACTGCGTACAGAGAAAACAATTTTGCAGAGGTCTTTCGTGAAGAGTGTGAATTGCCACATATATGTCATGTTTACCGAGCTTTTCATAGGATTTGATTGGGAGAAGAAACCGACATTAAAAAATTGTTTATTTTTTCATTGCTTTATTAATGTCACATGTATTAGCACCTCATGATTTTTCCTCAAACTTATCTCTAACCAGAGCCATGTCGTCCCTAGTATGCTGTCTTGGGAGTGAGCATGCTGTAAGTAGCCCACTTTTATTTCTCTTTAATATAGTTTTACTGATTGAATGAATGAGTTGTTAAAAGTGTGTCAATAATGAACTAAATAAGGAGTTTATTAACATGTTAATTAGGTGGGGAATCAATTTACTGAACAACTAGGTTGCTGGAGGGATTGACAGATTTAATTTTCTGTTGTCTGGTGGATGTGCCAATTTGTTGTAGAGGTGCGTAAATATGGAGTTTCTGATTGGGAGTCAAATATGAATAATGAAATATAACTGTGAATCAATGAGAATAATAAAATATATCTGCAAATAAATATTATTATTTTGAAACACAATTAGTTTGCATTCAATGTCAATTGAGGATGGATACTTTTAAGAAATCACACTTGGGAATTTTTTCTAGAAAGCACACCTATGAAAGAAGCAGTTTTGTAGCATGAGAAACATTTCACATATTACTTGCAGTAGAAAACAAAGGCCCTGATAAAATTAGTTGTTTAGGATGTAATGTAACATTGCAAGCAAAGTAATAACCACCATAATTATATAAATTTGGCACAAAGTTTTTTTTTGTTTTTTTTTCTTCCAAAGTATGATTTTATTTGGAGAAGGTCGACCCACAATAGTGAGCAAAATTTCCGAGACCATCGAGCCAGCTGAGATGCTCCGACACGTCAGCCATTTCCCCAACACATTGGTGCAAAGCGGTGAAGCTCGACACCAGAGAGCTGGTGCAAAGCAGCAAAGTTTGACACGAGAAGTTGGAGAATGCATAAGACAATATTCGTAAATTTAGAATATTCGTAAAATTTGTATTTCACACAGTAAAATTGTGCTGAGAATCTAAAAGGCCTTTCTAGAAAATTGTACAAGGTTTCTCGTCAATCCCGTATTGAAACCGTGGAGGCATTTGTGGGGCTGTTCTGATGTATGCTCGGTCATGCTCATGCATTCCATACATCCTGGAACTGGTTAAATTCCTTCTCTATTGCCACTCCAAGATCAGAATACAAAGGAAACAGAGTGAACAGATCACAAAGCCGATACGTAACCTGTTTCGTCATTGTGCTGCTTGGTTTGCGTTGTCAAATCGCAATATGCCAAACAGGTCTTTGATGGTCATGTTTTTTTTCCCCAAAAGATGTTTCCCAGTGATCTGGTTTTGTTTGCAAAGGAAGAGTATAAAATAAAGGGTCAATGCGCAGGTGTTTTTTTAATTATCTAGCCAGAGCACATATGGTGCTTGCAAGCTGTTTAGGTTTAGAGGCATAAAATATAAATATTGAAGCGAAAAGTTGTCTCCTTTCTTCCATTCAATTTCATATTGGCGAATCCGCTTCCGCGACATTCCGGTGGCTTCAGATTCATAACCGGAGGTACTTTACGGAACTTCTCCATAGGACGACGAGCTCTCGTCGTTTAAGTTTTATTGCGAAAAGCGTCGGAAGTCTGAATCGAAAGAGCTAGTGCTCCCATTGGCATTAACGCCAGGGCGGACGGTACACCAAGTGAGCATCGCGTGCATGGAGCATCTACTTTGAAGACTATAAATAGCCTAGCAGTGCAAAATGATTTGCGAATATAACGTTTATAGCTCACCAAAGACATGGCAAGTAGCAACACCTCTCACAGTGTGCGCAGTTTCACGTTTAGGCGGGCACTTTCAAATGTGCGATCACCACTGTTCGTGTATGGCGACGAATATGAAAGGGTGAGGGGCTACTCCTTTGCAGGCCGTACGTCATAGTGCAGTAGTGGGCCCAAAAGACGATGAGAGGTGCCGCATATTTTTTAAACGGTCTACTATCGAATAGTTGTCAGTAATATGCAAGTTATTCAAAGTTTTGAATGTTCACACAGCTCTAATTATTTTATTTTGCTTCGTTGTCTTTTTACGAACTTTTCAGCCCTCCTTCAATGCGCTCATCCCTCTGGCCATGGAGTTCATCAAACGACTCATCGAAGTGGATCAGGTGGGTTTGGGTTTTCTGACAAGGGTGTCAAAGATGAAATGAAAGCTCGGCATCTTTCGTTATCAGGTAGAATAGTAGTGTGTGTGCCTTAATATCCCGAGAGACGGCCCGCCTAGAATCGGGAACGAATCGGGCGAAAGTGAGGGATGGACTAACTTAAAGTGCAAACTAATTGTTAAGAAAATATTGAAAAAATTCAACTGTTGTATTTTGTTGTATTCAACTGTTGTACCTGCCAAAGTCGTTACCACGTAAGAGGCAAGGAAACATAGACAACTGTCATTTCCAGTCTGCAATGTTTGCATATCTACTGCCACAGGCAGTAATCCCATTTTGGCAGAGGGGACAGTTGGCCCGGGCACTGCAGTTACAAGGAGCAGGCTATCTTTCTCCATTTTTGAAGAAATTTATGTACCGTATTTACTCGCAGAATGAACACACTTTTTTTTCCGAAAGATCAATGCAAAGTTGGGGGGCATTCATACTTACTCGCATAATGAAGGGACCTTTTATCCTGAAAAATCAATGTAACTTGTACGTGACCCCGTAACCAAACTGGGCTGTGCAAAAAGAAAGAAAAAGCTCCTCTTTGTTTTTTTTTTCTTAGTTCCATGGTTTTTTTTTTTTTTTTTGCCGCCTTTCGCAAGCTGTTTTGTTTGCTTAGGCGTTGCTTAGGCAAGGGCTTCTCCGCTTATCTTTCTTATCTCCTTGCGGGCCGCGCGCAGCCCCAAAGTCCAGACTGCACTGTGAAAAAAAAAAAAAAAAAAAAAAGCTCCTCTCTATGTTTTTTTTTTCTTGCTTCCGTTGGATCTTTTTTTAATTTTTTTAACGCGGCGTTTTGTTCGCCCACGCTTCCCATGCATTCGCGACCTCGCTGCACTAGGATAGAAAAGTGTGTTCATTTTGCGACCGTGGGGGGAGGGGGTCAAAATTTTGACGTCCGAGTTGGGGGTGCGTTTAATATGCGAGTGAAAAAAAAAAAAAGTCGAAATTTTGAGAGTCGACTTGGGGGTGCTTTCATTACGCGAGTGCGTTCATTGTGCGAGTAAATATGGTAATTTTTCTATGTGTGTATGTCATTTTTATGGGGGCGAATCATCTCTAGAGATATTGCGATAGTGTCTTTCTCGCGATTTCGAAGATATAATTGGGCATGCCCTTGCCTGTCGTGTGTCAACCGTCATAACGGCGTCCTCGCACTTGGCTTCTCTCAGGACAAAGCTATGGACGCGATGGAGTTGTTTGACGAACTCCTCGATTCCGAAGTCGCCATCCTGCTGCCCCACATCAAGCCGCTGATCAAGCTGTGCCTGGATGTGAGTCCTCCCGATTCCCTCGACGGCCGCCGTTGCCACGCCGCCGCCTCGGCCCTTCCTCGGAGCCGCAGCCAACTCATAGGAAGCGCCGAGACACGCCTCTATGGCTTAGTACGGCGAGAAATTAACGGCGGTCCGAATTTTCTCACTGGAACTAACGTAGACTGTGTTTGCCATATGTTTGGGTGCCACTGCTTTGTTTGTGTCTTGCCCTACAAGAAGTTGTACTCTTCCATACTCCGTTTCACCTTACGATGAACCTCGGTAGATGCTAAGAAACGATCCTTGTCGTAAATGTATCATGCGACTTCGCATCTCGCGTGTCGCTGCACCGCTCCGGAAGGTTGCCCAATGCTCGCGTGACACAGGATCAAATCCAACGGCTTTTGACGTCTGCCGCAGTCCACCGTAAGGCGACGTGGCTTGCGTACTTCGTCTCGCCTTATGACGGGCCACGACGAATCTTACGAATTGCTTTAGACAATCCATCATTCCACACGCGACTTGCGCCTTGGCTGTCGGCTCGGCGGCCGGAAGGTCACGCGACGCACTCCGGTGGCCTGGCTTTGGTGGCTTGCAGCATCCGTTGCAATAGGTCGAAAGGGGAAACGGAGCGTGACATATGACACCTGCACGTGATAGGTCTCCCACGAAACCTTCATTATCGCTGGATGTTTTGAGACCCAGTTCAAGCCTCTCGGTTGTGTCGGCTCTAGTCCCGGTACGGGTGCAGGCAGATCCCTGTCGGTCACTGAGTTGCACGAATTACTATTATAAAAAATCTTCGAATGTGTCGTGAAATACCGAGCAAGTGCCCACTTAAAATTTGGAGAGTAATCTTAAAGAACTAGGAAATGGGTGCCTGCTATAGGCCCAAGAGCAAAAATGCAGAAGGGGCGCACAATGGGGTGGGCTTCCGTTGCTTTGCACCGGGGGGCTTGGAGAAGCAGCTGATATGGAGCACCTTCTTAGCAATGTGGATTTAGATGTCTGAAGTTTCTCGATACGTTTCTTGGGGTTTCTTCCGTTCGTTTTGAAATGGGTGGGTAGGGCGATTATTGGGATACGGGCGCACACTAAGTGTTTTACTGTCACAATCTAGTTGCGCACGTTCAACGAGGTACACAGTTTCTTAAAACTTTCTTTGTTGGGGGAAATGGCTATTTTAAAATCTATTTCTTTTTTTATCTGCCAAGTTTCTTATTTTTGCAGATTAATAGTAGAACCTCGTTAATACGTTTTTCAGGGGACCGCGGAAAAAAAAACATATTATCCGGGAAAACGTAACAACCGATAACGCTGTTGGTGGGGCTACAGATGTGATGGCAAGCAACCCTTACACTGGGGTTTACTCCAGGATGACTTTTGGGGGTTCAGAGAACTACCAAGTTAGTTACCATATAGCTGGGCATCCTTTTTTGGCACAGTTGTTTAGAACTAGCAGTCAATCTACCCGATTACAGCGCGACTATGATTGCTACCTCGAGGGGCAACTTTTCATATTGCTCAGTGGGGAAAATAGAACCACGAATGTTGCGTGAGGCTAATAAAGAAATGAGACGGTACCTTTATTTTGCTAGAAATCGTTTCCAGCACGATTTCTGACAACTGCACTCATTCACGTCGAGCAGTGATCAAGTTTTTCTCAGCTCTTGCTCCACTCGTGAAGTCGAAACGGGCGTCACACTGAGCCCGCCGCGTTGCCATCAGTTCCATCAAAACGTCCGACAGGAACGAATCTGTTAAGATCCAAGAACTAAAACACGCGCTAGAGACTAGTGCGTTAAAACTTCAAAATCTTTGAGCTGGTTGAGCTATACTAAGCGGACTCCGATCGTGTCATCGCTCGCTCGCTAGCCGCTATGGATTCGAACGGATTGGGATTCAACTAGATAATTTGAGGAATCCAGCTGAGAGGCCGAGAGGCTTACCAAGGCATGCATTTCCAACAGAAGACCGAAAATGCGCTGCGTGCAGCTCAGGAGCGCGGACTCGGGGGCGCCAAGGGGCAGCTTTTGGACGTAGCAACCGGGAAATCAGACATAACAGATGGGAAACTAGTACATGTATCTCTATGGGAGTTAAACGGGACCAGCGCTCGTAAACGTAACAGCCGGGAAAACGTATCAACCGGGAACATATCAACAAGGTTCTACTGTATTTAAGCTGTAACATCACTTTTGTTTATAATATCTATGCAGACTGAAATTGCATTGAAGTTGATGCTAAAATCACACTTTCTCAAAAACACATATTTTGAACTCTGCAAATTTTTAGAAGGGATATGTCAGCATCTAGGTCATCTAAAAATATAAAAAAATTTTTACAATATGTGCGAAGTATAGAATATTGGGGGCAGATTTTTCAATACACACTAGGTGTAGGAATATTTTAAACTGAACTATTGTTTTATTGCTTGGTAGCCACACATCGAACACTGAACACCAGTGTGTTGTAAAGTTACTATAGTCGGTGACTGGTCAAGAACGAAGTGGAAGCCCCTCCCACCTCTTCCCACTTTAGTAGTGCGAACACAGAAGAGGAAATGACCTCCTCTCCATCGTTCGCTCCACCGAAGCAGAAAGGTGTGGGACGAGCGTCCACTTCGTTCTTGAGCTGTCACCGACTAAATGGTTCAATCTAAAAAAATGCTTCCGAGAATGCATTATTCATGTTTTGTAGTATCTAACCATATGTTTGATTTTAAAAAAAAATGTTTTTACCCTTTTGCTTTTGGAAACAAAGGTGGGTAGTTATAATTATCCTGAGAACTAACCCACTGACTAGCAAAAATTCCCAGATATTTGAGATTGGCACTAAAATCTGAACGAGCCTGTGCTACTTCGATGGGTTTTGTCCAAAAAAAAATAAGGGAGAAAGCTCCAAGACACTTGTTCCCTTAAACTGTATGCTGGGTACGGCTAGCAAACTGTTAGCCTAGTGTGTTGTTTCAAGCGATACCCGTTCTCTTCGGCTCCGCTGTTGGTTGTGCTGGGTTCTGGGTCGATTCTGGGTCAAACGAGTGGTTGGCATTGCAGGTTGCGAGTGACACGAAGCGGGACAGTGCCCTGCGTGTGCGCTGCCTGTGCCTCATCAGTTGGATGGTGAATGTGAAGAAGAAGGTGAGGGGGGGGGGGGAGAGACTCTGGGGGCGGGGGAAATGGACACGGGTCACTCGAGCTTTGGTTTTGTTTCTGTCATACGTTTGGGACACTTTCGGGAAGATAGTTGTGAGGGCGTACGAATGCGAGGAGACAGGCCGCTGTTTGGGAGTTTTAAAAAGCAAATGTACCGGGTGTTTCAGGGAAGACTTTAGAAACTCCTACCAGTAGAATGATTGAGAAGGAAAAAGAAAATCTTTTCAGGAACAAATTGTTAGCCCCGGCAGACATCAGGTGTTGCAAAAAAAAAACACACTTAGTCAGGTAATTAACTAAACCTTGCTAGTTATCTTTTCAATTTTAATTAGTAAAAGTACAGATATGGTTCCAATTAGAAACTTGCTGAGTGTCATCAGAAACCTCTAAATCAGTCGATTTTAGGAAGATTTAAAGTGCGTGTGAAGCAGTGGGGGGGGGCACTAAAATTTCTGCTCGTTCAGCGAGTACAAGGCTGGCATTGTGAAAATGCAGATAATATTGTTATCGTCCGCAATTTCGCATTGCCAGGGATTTTTTTTTTTTTTTTCATCCACCCTTTTGGTAGGAATTTTTTAAAGTCTTCGCTCAAACACCCGGTATACCCTATTGAGAGAAAATATAGAAGCAAGTGGTAGGTGGCACCCGGGCAAGGCATTAATAATTCCACACCGAATATGAGCTCTCCTCAATTTAGAGGCCCTATCTTCAACTCGTGAAAGTTGCAGAAATTGAACCACTGTTTTGTGTGAGAGGCATCTGAATGAGCCATTGAATAGGTCTAGTATCTAACAAACTGACGACTTCGTAGCTTAGATGATGAGCCCGTAAGTTGGACGAGACGTTTCAAGGGTGGAGTAGTTAACTCCTTGCCTGGTGTTTCATTTGCCTTTTCTAAGGCGTATAAATTATGCTATAGGAATGCTGCAACAGCAATTTGTTCTAAGAGTGTTCTTGGCTCATTAGAGTTCACTGTTGTTAACATTGTTGAAATAAAATGCTAATACTTTTAGTTTGTTTGCGAAAAACCACTTTGGGGAGATTTCTTCTATTCAAAAGTGGAGGGAAGCAAAAAAAGGCTACAGCTTTATGCATAGCGTACATCATCAAACTCACATTTTTGGAAGCTTCTCCCGCTTGCGCCGGAGTACAACAAGGAAGCCGCAGCGCGGGAACGGCCCCGCTGTACGAGATATTACTCTGGTATTTTTCGCTCCCAAGTTAAGCCAATGACTATCGGCACCTGGCTCTATCAAAGCCCACAAAAGCTCAGAGCTGAAGCTGACTACTGAGGTTAAAGGTGGAAAAAGCTGATAGCAAACATCACGCAAACAAAATGAGTACGGCAGCAGCAGCTTCTCTGTCCTGGACGTGACCCGTTGCAGAGGTCTTCGCTCTATCTTGGCTCTTTTGGTGTCTGTCCAAGTGGTCCTCTCACACCTCTCACACCTATATATACTATAGCATATGCTTGTTGCTGATCCGCGCAGACGATCGTGAAGCACAAGCTGATCCCCGAGCTGTTGGACATCCTGTTTCCAATCATGGCGGAAGTGACCGACAACGACCTGGACGCAGACGAGGATGACGACGAAGACGACGACCTGTCGCAGACGCCTTCGGCCAGTGCAGCGCAGGCAAGTCTGCTCGTCGTTCAGACAACCTTGGTCCTTCCTGGGCCTGCTTCTTGTTATTTGTTTAATCTCGGACGCTGAATGAGGGGATGAAGTGGCATTAATTTTGTGAAAATGTACAGTGTGTTCTGCAGCTAAATGTAATTAAAGTTCAGCATTTTCGGCTCTTATTTTTTTAAAAATTCGGCATACTTTTTTTTTGTTTTTATTTTGAACGGTTGTTTTTGGCGTTTTTTCGGCGTATAAACGCTCGTAAGGGTTTCACTTTTTTTTTCCCTTCAAATTTTGGTGCTAATTTAGGTGCAGCCCGTACACGGATAAAAGCAAAGTAGTTATTGAATGTGCATAGAAAAACGGACATACTTGCAATCGCACGCAGTGGTCTTTGCGCCTTTGTTTCGGTCTCGGATCGTTGTAACCTGCGGCATCCTCGGCGTTTGGTTCTGACTGGTGTCATCAGTGAGTTGCTCTTTTGAGCCATCCAGTTAGCACCGTTTCAGGGTTCGCTTTAACCATTTATTTCGTAGACTTTCACCTCAACGCCCGTTTCGATTACGGCGTCAAGCCGCTGCAGCGTGCAAGTGAGCCTGCTCTGGACCCTAGGCTTTGTCCAGCACCGTGCGCAGGTCTTGTCGACGCTTAATTCGCGACCCGTTTCATGTGTGCTGCACTCCAAGGCATAAATGACAGCTTAAAAAAAAAAAAAAAAAAATTGGGGTGTGTGTGTGTTTATACAGTCTAGAACTTGGTCTGCCTCAACGGGCGACGAGTCTCCCAGCTGTAGATGAGAAATTTAGCCAGTGCAGTACAACCGCTAGCCTGGGGTCTTTAACATGCATCACGCAGTAGTGATACACGACCGCACGCCGGTACGATGCTCATCCAGATTGAAATGTGACAGTTCGAAAGTACTTGCCCGCTGCGTGTGTGGGCCTGCATAAACCAAACTAGCAAGACGAAACATTCGCGAAGCTTAACGGTGCTGGTTGGAAACCTGACTGTCTAATTTCACAGCAGCTGTTGTCACATGGCCAGAAGGCGACCGTGGATAATATGAAAACCATCAAAAGGACAGCTTTCCGAAGTTTTACCCCTGTAATCTTTCTTTTTTGCGCTTCATAACACGGCGAAAAGTTCGAGCAGAGGTGCGTGCACGGCGGGGTGAAGATGATGCAGACGCAAGGCGTGCACAACAGTGCGGAAGCGGTTGGCGCCCCTCGGAGAAAGGGGGGTGCGGCTAATACAAAAATAATTCTTAAAATCTTTTTTATATATATATATTTTTGGTGTACTGTATTTACTCGCATAATGAACACATTTTTTTCCCCGGAGAATGGACACATATTTGGGGCGGGCGTTCATTACGCCGGGGTAAAATTTTTGCATTTGTAATTTTATCGCTCTTTAATCGGTTTAAACCGACAATGCTTAAAAGAGGTACTGCGGTGATTTTTGAGCTACCCTAACTAACTGTATTTTCGATATTGCCGGCCTTTACTCCTTCCGGTATGCTATTTAGTATAGCGAAATTCGGAATAGTTATGAAATCAGCAGATGAAAATAACGCCAAAGCCAAGATTGATATATACCCGCGCTTTTCAATGCCATGACGTCGGGGGAAGGCAGGCTTGTGGGTCGAGCGGGCAGTCTGATAATGGACTGCCGAGCATTTGTTTCGTGCTGCTGGGCAGGAGCTGGAACAACCTTCTAAAGCGTTCATTTGACCCCATGAAACTGTTTGTAATCAGTTGGGAACAAAGTCTACAGCCCAAAGACGTCATGGGAAGGCCCCTGCCTTCCCATGACGTCACTTTTTCATTGTTGCCAGTAGAGACTTTCACTTTGAATGAGGACCAAAATTGTAAATTCAGTAACTTTGCAAAAAAAAATCATTTTGGCCAAATATTTGAGTTGCTATTTCAGCGATGTTTGTTGGTGTGTTTTGGCAATTTTTAGGCATATCGGGGACTTTGAAGGAACTGCTGGGGTACTTCCTTAGCCTTAAATATAACGCTAAGCGTCAGCCGGATAGACTGCCTGCGCCACCTAGTGGCGCAGTCTGGCAGCTCACGTCGGTGTTCTTTTTTAGTGTTAATGCTCCCAGTACGGACGCGATGACTGATGTTTGCTTAGGTAATTAATTTTATAAAATGTTGCCTTTTGACTTTTATTTTGTTGGGTTTGCAGTGAGTTTGCTTTTTTGAGAAACTGCTATGTCCATCAATATAGAAAGCCTTGCACGTCATCCATCAATATAGAAAGCCTGACTAACTTGCACGTCATGTGTGGTCGATAAGGCGCTTGACAACAATACAGTAATTTATGGTTCGTACGTAGGAGAAAAACTAGGAGGTCAAGCAACTTGTATTGGGAAATGGTAATGGTCTCGGGGAGAAACGCTTTATTCTCTGCAACACCATTATTGTCGTCGTTGGGCGGCGGTGATATGTTTTGGCCACCGCTCGCATATTATATTTGTCAGATGAGCGCACTGTACAGTTAGCTCTTGTTAACATGAGCACCATTCACCTAATGCTCTTGTTTTCTGAAGACATTGTATCTTTCAGTCTCTAAGTCACAGTTCTATGTTTTTACGGTCAGGGCAGTGAAATCACATTGATAAGCTCGCACACATATATTATGATTACAATATATGGGGCAGTGTGAGCCAGTTTCAATTTTCTTGCCAGTGAATCGAATAAGAAATATAACCCCCGCAGCAAGTTTGCACAGTTAAGGTTCTTCATACTTATAATGATAAACACATGCAAGTCACACCGTTTTATAAGGCACACTGGCAGAAACTCGGGGAAAGAATTCGCGACCTAAACACCGGCGAAAATGCAGTAAGTAGTTTCGGCCTGCGTCCCGAGGCACTCCCGTTAATTGTGGGTCTTAAGGCGAAGTCAGCACGAAGGACAGTTTTGTTGCACCTTGACAGACTTTTCTAACCCGGCGACGTCTTTGCAGCTCGTCGACACAATGGCCCTGCACCTTCCACCAGAGAAGCTGATTCCCCCATTGGTAAGAATGTGCTCGAATCGACGTCAGTGTCGACTAACCGGGGATGCTTTTGTCCGACGACGCCCAGTCTCAACACGTGGAGAAGTACTTGACGAGCGACAACCCGCTGCACAAGAAGGCGGCCTACCTGGCCATGGCGGTCATCGCGGAGGGCTGCTCGGAGGCCATCCGAGAAAAGTGAGACGCTTTTTTACGGTGACAGCTGTTTTGGGCTTTTCCCACTGCTGGAAATGACGTCCGTTGTTGATGTTACAGTACTAGTTGATGTTGTAGTTGGCGATGTAGGGGATTTGTCGTCGGTGTTGCCGAATCCTCGAAAAGATTGCCCACAGCCCGCGGGAACTGAACCTGGGTCCGCCGCATGCGAAACGGAGGATTTTCCGCTGAGCTATGCCATGGCGTTAACAAATTGCTTTAAATTTGGGAATTTTTTGTACCCAACACCCATTGCATGCACCCTCTAAAAAAAAAAAAAAAAATGCAATTACAGTCAAGGCCAAGAGCTCGTGCCGAGGGACGCGCTTTCACGAGCTCCGGAACAAAAAAAACAAACAAAAGCATTCGTAACAAAATGGTCAGACGTCTTATTTTGCTCCGAGCGTTTTTGTTAATGCACCCCACGGTGCGTGAATGCGACGTCGACGCTGAACAACTCCGCCGTGACTCGTCGCAGCCATCGCATCGCTGTGATTAACTCGGGACCACTCGATTTTCATCTCGGCCTCTTGGATTTTTCTTTTCATTTTCGCCGACACGCCTGCATGTCGGGGAGAGGAGTTAGTCGGAGCAGACTTGTCCGAGTGTTTGCAGTGTTCACTCACACCAGGATTTTTCTAGGTACCTGCAGACTTTTCTGCAAGTCATCTGCCAGGGAATTGGTCATGAGAATCCGCACGTGAAGAACGCTGCCCTCTTTGCCCTGGGAGAGTTTGCCGACTATTTGCAGGTGCGTTTTGGCGCCTCTCTTCGTGACGCCGAAGTTCTTGAAGGGGGCCGGCTTGTTAATGGGGACACCACTCCGTTTCGCCTCACGGTGCACCGCGACAAATGTCACGAGCCACGTCGGCCGATTCAGAGCTCCACGTGTGCCCCGTGGCTTCGAGCTCTGGGCCTCACTCCGCCTAACCTCCGGTTGCTCGTGGTGTCTGTCGCGGTAGATTGCAAGGCGAAACGGAGTGTAGTGCTCGCAACTTGTACGTTTAGAAGGTCCTGCTGGTTAGTACGTACGTTTAGAAGGTCCTGTCGCTTGTGGTTTTGGTCATGAAGGTAATCCTTTCACCGCTCACCGTGAAGCAATTAGAGCCTAATTATGAAATCTTTGCGACTTGGACATCTTTGGCATGCCTCTGGGCTGCACAATTTCAAGAGGAGCTAATGTCATAGAGCTATCAGGATTGAAGGGCACATCGTGGCAGCTTTGTTTTATAAAGCAGCTGAACATAGTTAAGCCTGAAGCGACGGATGCAACATAATGGAACTCAACGCTTCAGGCTTGATACAGCAGCTATGATGGCAGCTTTGTGTTAAAGCAGATATTGCTGGTTCAACACAGCGAGTCTATGGTGTCTCATTCACCATGGAAGTTCCGTATCGGACCTTGAGACATTGGATATAGCGTAGCAAGCTCTACTTGATACACCTGGTAGTATAACGGGCCTCGTGCACCAGATCTAATGGCGACGATGATTTGACGAGGAACCTCCTGGCTCGTCAAATCATCTTACTAAATCTTTCAACGAGCTGCTGGCTGCCACTCTTAGGCTTCCAGGTGGTTCTTCCTATGGTCCCTGACACGATTAGAACGTTATGGCAAATTCCACGGGTCGTTTTGGAGTGCGCTGGGTTCGACTTTCCCGGAGCCTGCCTATTTCACTGGGTGATCGGGATCGAGAGGAAAAAGTTCCACTCATCGTTTTGGATCAGCTCCCTCCAGATCTCAATCCGAATCCAAGAAAAGTTGCTCCGCCGATTTCAGCGTCTATTAGACCGAAAGCCAGCCTGGTCGGCCCTCGGCGCGCACACGTGACTTTCTTTCTCGTTGGGCATCTCGCAATCTCACCTCGGAAGAATTCGTAACGGCTGTTTGCGAAGTCGTCATCAAGTTGTTCGAGCAGCTTCTCCAGTGGAAGCGGCTTGAGAAGCAGCGAGGACGAGGATTGCTTGCATGTCTCACATGAATTCGACCGCCTCTTCGGACCTCAGCAGAAGTGGCCGAAAATCGAGACGTAGTTGGGCACCGTTCATGAGTATTCAAATGAAGAGGTGGGTGGGCTATGCTGATGCACGTCGCTTATCTACGCGTATCTTCACATTATGATTAACTTCGCTCGTTCGTTGGGCATGAGTTATTAACGCCACGATTGCGAAAACATATGCTTTGAGATCTGGGACTGTGGGAAGGGGATTCCGGGGAAGATGATTCTCGGGAAGGTGAACGACGGGAAGACATCCGCCGATCCCAGAAGAGTGGTCACGTTGCACTGGGGTACGGAGGCGGAGCAACTTCGTTCGGATTGCGTGCTCCATCTGGGATCTGGTCTACTGATCCCGGCGTGTTCCAAAACAGCCGGTGGAATTTGCCATCAGGGAGGCCCATCAGTTGTCCCACCTCCAGCGCGAGCTTTGTATGTCATCTCTCGAGTCTTCAGCGGGCAGGCATAGCCAAGGCACGGCAGACGGCAACGAGTATGTGCTGAAGTCCGAGCATCCAGAACAGATGCTCTACCGTTCTCGCCCTGTCAGCTACTGTACCAGCTCCAACCGTTTTATGACAGTTGAGGATGATGATGATAATTAGAAGTATCCTCGTGGTGCTGAAGATGACAAATAGCCCCGGTGGTACCTTGCAGCCGGACATCAACAAGTTTGCCGGCGACGTGATGCCCATCCTCCTGGTCCAGCTGACCCAGATGGCCCAGCAGATGGGCCAACTCGGCAAGAACGTGCCCAACCTCTCGAAGACGTTCTATGCCCTCGAGACCTTCTGCGAGAACTTGGGTAGGCCTGGTTTCGTTTCTTTCGGTGTCCGGACGACGTGCTCCGGGAGGGAAGACAGACGTCGAGACCCCGACGATGTCTTGCAGAGGAAGGACTAGTCCCGTACCTGCCCACGCTGATGGAGCAGATCCTGCTGTTCCTTACACTGCCGTCGCACAGGGCCAAGGAACTAGCCATCAGCTGCGTCGGGGCCGCAGGTGAGGCCGAATTCAACCTCTTCGTGCCGACGTCTTTGTCAATGCCAGTATCAGTCGTATACAGATTTGCTGGATTCAATTATGTCAAGCTTTTCTTTCTGGCTGCTTATGACCTTGTCACTTGGATTGTTTGACACAGCGTTGGTAGGGGTCTGTTGGCGTTAGTGAAGCTGGGTACGGTTGCGGTCGCTTAGCATCGGTCGTTTACCATCAGTCGCTTACAACCTGATTTTCTGGAGTTGCATTTGGTGAAATATAGCTGACACTTTTAGATTTATTGTTGCCCAGAATACAATCTTGATTAGCATATCTTGTTAGTTTGGGCCGCCTGCAGAAACTTATGTTTTCTGTGGTCTATTAGTTTATTTATTTACAATACTGCAGACTTTTTGATCTATGCAGAAGAGGGGAAAAAAAGAACACAGGATAAATACACAACAAACACGTCATACAGTTTAAGCATGCTAAGAAGTTTGGAGTTTCCAGCGCATGCTTTTACATCCATCATTTAACGAAAGAATCATTCAACTGGGTTGCAAATAGCTCAAGGCTGGGACAACTGACAATCTCTTCGGGCAGGACGTTCTACTTCATTATTGTTCTACAAAAAAATTAATATTTGGAAGCATCATTCTTGTATTGATACGGGCTTTAGTTGCTTTAGTGTTGCTCATCCCTTGAGGGCGGGATGCTGAAGGTAAAATATATGTTTTGGGATCAATTTTTGTCACCCTGTTCGCTATAATGTATAATTTTTTGAGTCTGGAAAGTTTTCTTTCGTTTTCTAGATGATCGGACCGCACCTCACTTCTCATTGCGGTAACGGATTTCGTATGCCTATATATTCAAAGAAAAAAAATTGTAATGCAAGGTCCTCTGTTGTTTCTATTTGTGTGACCTGGTGTTTCCTGTAGATATCCTACAGGCAACTCGCATATTCGAATATCGGATGCACATAAGATTCACATGCAGTTAATCATACATCTCTATTTGCATATCTAAGATGCCTTCTAAAGAATGCTAGTCTTTGATGCACCCTTGCACGTACATAATCCATGTGACTATAACATGGTTATAATTTGATATGGCTTTGTACACATATAACGCACGTGACTATAACTTGCACATATATTTATCCACGTGGCATATATAATGCGTGCAACATGTAACGGTCTTGGGAATCTCCGAGGTGACCGAGCATCTCTGCTCCAAACAGCCAACGCCACAAAGGAAGCGATGCTGCCGTACTTCCCGCGGATCATCGAACATCTCAAGGGGTACCTGACGGAGCATCAGTCGGAACAGGACTCCATCCTCAGGACACAGGCTTTGGGCAAGTGAATTTTCTTGCAGTTGTCTGGGGTTCTCAAGCTTCGCAATCTCGAGGAACTACCGTAAAATACCAGGGAAGCGCCCACTCAAAATTTAAAGATAATCATGAAAAAATGGGGGATGGGCACTTGCCCGGTTATCAATTTTACATATAAATGTACCGTGCATATTTTTTTATATCTTAGAAATTTTTATATGGGCGCTTAATGTGGAATGGGCGGATGCGCAGTATTCTACGGTAGGTACTCTCCGTCTCGATTGAAAGCCAAGGAACCCGGTCTCATCATGGTTACAACACAGCAGTACAGGAACCAACAGACCATGTAGACAATAATGGACATACCAGGGGAGTGTTTGGCCCAAAGCTATTGATTGAAGGGAAGCTGAAGCGGTCTTGTATTTGAGGAAACACACTTTAATTACCTTCATTTGACCCCCAAAATCTCAAATATCGAAATTATTTTTTAATTTGGTGCATAGAGGCTGCAGAAAATCATTTTTGAAGTACCGCTTAAGGCCCTCCTTCTGGGAGCATGACATCACAAAAGGAGTTTTCGGGATCTACGCTCCCGCGCCTCATGAGCGCTTGTCAAAGCTATGCACGCGCACCCCTGCTATTTTTAAGAAGGGCAGAAAACGACGTCACGACTGGTGCCAGTGTGGGGGAATATACCTGGCAAGCTTGCGATTGCACGCGTGGCCCTCGAGCGACACGCACTCGGCGGCCGAAAGATCCTCTTATGACGTCACGGCTGGTTGGAGGTTTTTCGCGTTTTCTCGCATTCAGTTACATCTTCGGGGGAAACAATTGTCATATTCAGATTCACGGGATAAAACTACTCTAGAATCAACCTCTATCTCATTTTTGTTTAGAGTGTTTCAGCTCCCCTTTAATGGATGGCTCAGATATGGTAATATAACCCTTAAAATGGAGAAACCTTTTGCTTCAAGGTAGGGGTGGGCAAAAAAATTTGGGACTTTGGGGGATTCCCCAGGGGTACTCGAGGAGTTTATGGGCTGAGGACCCATGGTTTAGATGTCCATTGACTGTGGAAAAGAGAGAAGAAAGCTTGCAAAAGGTTCGAGCTTTGCCTACCTGGGCCATTTACAGATACGCTGGGCTGCCTCGCCAAGACAATAGGGGAAGTGCACTTCCGGCCCATGGCCCCAGAGTGCGCCCAGCTGGGTCTACGACTCTTGGAAGCGGTGGACGACCCCGACTTGCGCCGTAGCACGTGAGTGACCTCTCCACACTCGTCGTAGTTTACGATGGAAAAGTTGTGCCTTTTTCTCGCATTCTAAGGGACGCGGCTAGAATTTCCCATTCATGCATGGCGCACGTGGCATATCACGTGACTTGACGTCACGTAACTCGCGGTGCGAAGTGGCGTTACCTACCATCACGGTGTCAACAGCGTTATTGGATCTAAGTAACCCCATTGCTTGATGTAATTAATGAAAGCATGCCAATATTCAAACGTCATGACAACCCGCCATTTCGCTTACATTGCAGTTCCGCATGAGATGGTTTGATCGATCGATCAAAGAAGAGCCGCCAATCTTTTGAACCTGCCGGTCTTCATCCAATTCCCAGTTTTCGTTTCGTTTTTTCTTTGTAACATTTCCAATGTTCTTTGTTGTAACTGTAAGTTGGCAACCCTTCAGGTATGGCCTGTTTGCCTCCCTGTCCCTGGTGCTCAAGGCAGACATGTCGCCGTACATGGGGCCACTTCTCGAACACATGTTCACGTCGCTTCAGTCAACCGAAGGAGTCGTGGTAAGTCGGCCAGCGCCTCCTTGTTTTTTAATCTAGAGTCACCAAATGTCCTCAGAGTAGCGCAACTTCCCAGGCTTCATTTCAGAACCACGTTGTGGTCTTGAAATCAACGGTTACAATACGGCGACTGTTCAGTCAAATCAAACTGGAGCTGGCAGATAGGGCAGCATTGCTGTTTCGCAGAAAGATTCTGGGCTTCTTGGCGTAGAAAACACTAGCAAAAACCAGCGTGGTTACCACCCTCCGGACTATCGTAATGTACCGGCTGTTCAGAGCTCCCATTTTTGTCTTCTCCCGGCATCAGCATGGCCATGAGGTTTTTTTGTTTTTTTTAAACTCTACTTTAAAACTTTATTTATAATCTAGCAGATGTTGTTTGGAGCTCTCGCTATAAATTTCCCTCTTTCTGATGGGTCCATTGAGTAGTTGTTCACTGCATAGTACTGTTGGAAACATTCAGGGAAGTGGAAAATAACAAACAGCATCTGGAGACCGAGTGGACGTTCAGTTCAATTGTTATGCAAATAGCTGATTCGCACAATGATTGAATTGATTTGCGTGACGACCTCCGCCTCAATGCTGAGGTTGGCTAAAGCTGACCTCCACCTTGAGGTGAGCCTCTCCTCACATTTGCAGATGTTACTTTTTTTTTTTTGGTGAAAACATTAGCTTCTTTGGTGAAAATTCAAATAGTAGCAGAACCTGAAGGGGGTAATGTCACCATCCGCTGGAGAGCACACTAAACGGGCCGTGAAACGTGTGCGAGACTCGTGGTCGGGGTTTTCGGTTCGTAATGAACGGCATGAGCCACCCTTGTGTTAGTAACCAAAAGTTAACCAGATAGAAAGTTTGATTGGCTTGCCCGGAAAACATTAGCCAACCCGAAAGTTTGATTGGATCACTTCTCGTGGTCGGGCAGACAATACAGAACATGGTACCATGGTGCCCGGGATGCCTATCCGACCGGTGCGTTTAGCATTCCATGCGGAGTGCAAGTTCGTCTGCTTTTTGCGCATGGGTTGCGATGATGTCGATATGTTATACTCTTATTGGCTGATTGAAAATAAAAAAAAAAATTGGGTAGACCTCCACGCATCTAGCATCAAGGTATGCGCCCACTGTCCTTTCAATCAAAGCCAATCGGAGCTCTGTGTAGTTCGGACGTCACCGCAACTCTTGCTCAAGAAGCAGACGACTCGCCTTCCGCATTCCGCCTATGCATCAAAAGCGTTCCCGAAATGGCAAGAAACAAATAAACACTTGGGCAACCCGTAAGGTGAAAGACGGCGACAGCCAAGGTGCGTCGTCGGAGCTGCTAATGCACGGAGGTAGGAAGCTTCTGGAGGCGACGTGAGGCCACCAGAGGTCAAGGTGGAAGTGTTTTGGTTGGTGCCATGTCAGCTTTCTTTTTCGTCCAATAGCACCCCTTGGTTTTTGGTCGTCGTTGGGGGCGTGTCCCTCCACACTTCTGGCTTCACCTCTGGTGCCTTTGTGTTGCCTCCAGAAGCTTCCTACCTCCATGCGCTAAGCTGTCGTTCTGGAGCAGATGGACTGGACAAGCGGTAAAGGTGCGAGCGCGCACGACGGAGTCCGCGTAGCCACTTCGTATTAAGCCGAGTAACGCGCTGGACGAAAATTTCGTTGGGTCTTCGAACCAATGGGGGTGTGTTAAGTAGAGGGCATTTCAGCTCTCTGCTGAAGAGGGGAGCGTGTCTTCGTACGTCACTTCGGCACGAATGGTTGTGCATGCCAAATGAAAAGTGCCGAATAGACAAGGACAAGGAAGTAAATGAGACGGTAGTACACTCTCAAATGAAGGTTTATTGAAACAAACACACACTGTTAATACCATCTTTCTGGCTATTCATCTAGAAAAGGAAATTTGTAAATCTGTCAGGTGCGTTGATGAGGCACTAATGCTCTTGCTTGCCCCTTGCTTTCTGATGCGGGATGCGTTGTAAAATTCCAAGGCAGTTTTATCCGCATATCTGGCGAGAATCATTCTTTGTGCTACTTCTGGGTCATGAGGGCACCTATGCCATTGCACTGCTGGTTGCCCAGCGGGGACATTTTGGCTGACCATGTATGTTATCTTGCTACCGTCCATGACCATGCGTGCAATCTCGCTTGCTTGTTATCTTGTTATCAGCAGCCCGCAGAATGTTTTGGCGGAGTGTCGAAAATGGCCTGCATCAATATGGAGCGCGGTCGACTGCGCGGAACCGGAAAGCATCCCACCAACATCTGTCACCGTAAAGCATTTGGCGACTCAGACGCATCCTCCTCCGTTCAAGGACACAAACAGTGTTGCAGCTGTCTGCAGTCGTCCCACCCATTCTCGCAAACTTCCCTGCTTTCTCGCCTCATTTATCCCCACTTAACTCCAATTGGCTTTTCCTGAAAATTCCCACTTGATCATACGATCCGATTCATTTTTATTTGAATTGGCTTTAATTCGGCTGTGCCCTCAAGGCGGTACCGATTGAGGCATTTTTATTTTTCAATCTTTTTAGCAAAGCAAAGCCTTATCAAATGCTTTCTCGCCTTGCTGGGACGACCTTCGGCAGTTTGGTCCTTGTCTGTGGGTGATACTAGACCCACCTAACAAGCTACATCTAGAATATCAGCTCTTCATTTTCTGGTTTTCTTCTGGGCACTGTCATTTTGGTGCTCGGTGCAGGGCAGGTGCCATTGGCGATTGTTACGGTTAGAAAATGTGATTTCACAATCCTTTAGGTATGGGGTTGGAAGGCTCGGGCAGACATTGTCTTGCCTCTGTTGCGAATTGCTTTTACGTTTCTGGAAGACAGAAGAGCATTTCCTGCGATTTTGAACAAAGCTCCAGATAACTGGCAGGTATTTCACATTTTTCTGCCATTTCAGCACAAATGGGAGCTAAATTTTTCCCATCTATTATAGCTTTCAAGAAAACCGACTTTATCACAAATGCTTCTTTATGTCCATGTTTCTTGCAATATCCCCATAAAATAATATGGCACAAATTATGTCTGCGTGTTCTAAACACTAGAAAGTACATCAAAGCCGTTGTTATGATTTTAGCATCGTTCTAAAAAAACATTATCCCCACTAGTTGAAATTTTTTTGCTGATAATTAGGAATGAGTCATTAAAGTCTTTGCCAATGAAAAACTTTTCATCGACGGAGGGTGGGACGAAACGGGTTAATCCCATTTTCCCCCATCTCGCCTTGAAGGAAAACTGGCGGACCAGTTTCAATAAAGTTTATTGTCTCTCTAGTTAACAATTGAAGAAATAGTAGTCTTGCTGCACCCTCTGATTTACGAGGTTTCAACCCTAAAAGAGTATTCAGTGCCAAGTTCTAGATTCTAAGATGCCATGGACAAAACTTTCTGTTTTGACGGAAAGAAGGAATTCTGAGAAAGCGGAAAGAACTTTTCATAAAATGTTTACAAACAGCCTGGGTATAAAAGTTTGAATTGATATAACTATATAAATGTGCACTCCATAAGTGTAGTACTTACAATGCATGTTAAAACTTATGGGACAAAAAAACTTTTTTTAATAACTTTTTTTTTATTAAATTTTTGTGTTTCAAGGACCAAGCTGAAATGTTGTTACCCTGAAACGTAGCTAAGTCAGTGGCTCTAAGCGACTCGATCAGCGAACCGACGTGTGAGGCGTCTTCTTGGCTTGCAGACGAGCGCAGGTGACGGCGGCTTCCCTCTGTTCGACGAGCTCGAGGACAGCGACGACGAGGACGCCGCAATCCATTCCGGAGGCGACGGAGAAGACTCCGACGACGACGAGCTCAAGGGGTGAGGGAGTGTTTCTGCTGAGTCCTGGACAGCAAATTGCCACGTGTATTTGACGAGATCGGCATTTTCAGGAGACCCTTCGCTTTGCGTCAGAACAGTGAAATGTGCGCCTTTTGAAAGGGTCATGAAATAATCTTCCGACTTCGACTAAATGCTGTTCAGAATGTGTCCTTGATGTCTGTGACCCACAAAACTTGCATAAGTTTTTGTCTGCACCTTCTAAGAGTCACAAAAATATTTTTAGGAAAATGAGCAGTGCTCACTCCCATCAACTGGCAATCCCTGGACCTCGTGTCAATTATGCGCTACCAACGTTTATTGTAAGCACGCGCCACAATTGGCAAAGACCAGGACGTGTGCTGCACCCCAGATGTTGGAATTCGACTATTCCTCTCACTGCAGCAATTAAAATTGAGTCCCAACCCAAATGTCTGCTGCGGCATCGATAGCAACCGAGCTTAAGTTGAACACTTGCGCAGTTTTGGTGTCCCATCTACAATCCACACTGAACTGTTGTCACGACGGGTCGATCCTTCCAACTATGTCGACGCGCTGACCCCTTCCGGAGGCTCTGAGAAAGAAAAACGGCAAGAAATAGTCCACTTTAAAGGGTAACTGCAAGGAAAAAGAAGTGTTTTTTTAAACAGCCTAATTGGGACAAGCATCTCACAATACAAATGTTCCGCGAAAAAAATAATTTTTTTTAGCAATATTTACGTCACGGGACGTAATTTAGTCGGAATCAGAACCTCTCCACATTTGAAACTTCCGCTCTTTCAACCCCCGTGGAGAACTACGCCCTGCCCCTCACTCTTGGATTTGCTCTTTCCTTTTGACTTGGCGAGTTGAACGACGCAGCGTCTTGACTTCCGGTAAGATCTGTCAACAACGCATGTTAAACATGGCGCCGGTATTGTAAGCTGCGCGGTTTGCGAGCACATAGCGAAGACGTGACCGGAGAAGTGTGCCTGTGATGTTCCCGGAAGGCTCAAAGTATCAATCCTAACCGTCGTGTGTGCTTTGAAAGCGAAGGGAGTCACAGGGTCCACGAGTGTGCAACCACAAGCCAAGGTTCACGACAGCGCTGCGTTGACATCGGCGATCTCGTTCTGTTTGGTGCAACACGGCGATGCGACAGAGAACTGAAACGTTCATGGTGTGTGTGGTATGGTGCTTGGAAGTAGACACCCACACTAACACGGAGTGCAAATTGGTTGTTGGGTTGAGGTTCAACGGGTTCAGTCCCGTCGTCGTCAGCTGATCCAGTCAAACTGGTCTGGGAGGATGCAGCGAGCGTTTTTATCTTCCTTAGTTCCTAAAAGTGTGGAAGATTCCCGACGCATACCATGAGTAAAAAGCTGCGGGCGTTTTCAACAAAATTATGTCGTTTTAATTGAACAATGGACTCCAAATTGTTGTCCTAAATCTGCCGTTTTATGCCTCGTGTTGTACTGCGTTTGCACAGCGACGTGTTGCGCTCATCGTGCGGTGTGAATAAATTTGGGCAAGATTTCCTACCTGCCCACAGACGCATGAACTGAGACCATTTTTTACATAGTGAACATAGTGTTGTTATTTTGGGAAGAGGCATTGTGCATTTATTACGGTACGATCACTTGAAAGTTGAGAAATTGGGGAGGGCGACGGTGCGGACTCCGTGTTTCGCGCTTTTTGCAAGGTGACTGGGGATGTGCTTTTGCAAGGTACGCGGATTGTACAACCGATTTTGTTATGCCCGTCGTTTGCATCTCTCCAGCAAAACAAATACGATAATCTATGAAGCCGCGATCACAAGCCAAGATTTACGATAACAGTACACATTCATTCAAACAATTTTACGTAAAATGGTTCGGAAGCCGAAAAAAAAAAACGGTCAGCTAACGCAGAATTCGGACGTTTGAAGGCTTTTGCGGACAGCTATTATGTAATAACCTGGCTGTTGCAGGTTTTTTACGTAACAGCTGTTTCTAGTCGCGGACGTTCGATGCACCCGGTGCGAATCTTGACGGCCTCCGGAGCGACATGACGAGAACGTAAGTGGACACAGTTGTCGCTATGCGAATGCCCGATTGCCTCCAGCCAAATAGCATTCCTTTCGGGGCGACATGGCTGCTGGAAGGCTCGCTGTCGGGATCACTCATCTGACATCTCCGAAAAGTCTGCATTTGCACGCGCAAGTGCAAGAAAAAAAAAAAGAAAGAAGAAAAAAAAAAGCACGCTAAGCAAGCAAAGAGGAAAATGAAAAAACAGCGCAATGAAAGCCAAAACCCCGCGTCACTTCCTATTACTAACACCTGCGACAGCTGCTAAACACACACTACTTCACTTCAAAAAGTCTTAATCAAGCACCTGGGTCAGCACGAAACACTGATCACTTCGGCAAAACGATTAGTCGAGGTAGTCGAGACAGGCGGGAGCAGAGATTTCAGGGGCTATGAAAGAATGGAGAAGGTTTTGTTTGTTACGGTATGAATCCTAACGGATGTGCCCGTCTTGTAAACTTTTTGTAAAGAATAATAACTCATCACATGGGTTACTTTAAACATAAAAATATGCAGCTTAAAAAGGAAATTAGAACATATAACAAAGGTTTAACAACCAAGATTTAAGCTGTCAATCAAACTCTTAGCCAATGAGAAGTATAGCAGCCAATTGGGGCTAATTGTCACGGAACATCAACTTTGTGGCGCGTGATTTAAAACGGACGAAATAGCGGCAAACTAAAATCAGTCTCACGCAACAAATATTGCTGTAAAAAAGTTTTTTCTCGCGGAAAATATGTTTTTTGACATGCTTGGCTGTTTAAAAAAAAAAACTTTTTTTCTTTGCAGTTACCCTTTAAGGGGACCCATGCTCCCCGAGAATATATATATATATATTTTTTTAATTTTGATGCTTGGAGGCTAAATTTGCACAGTTAGAACTATTGAGCTCCTCTTGTCATATATGTAGTCAGTTTTCTTATATTTGCCTTGGTGAAATATCTGTGTCGTATGAAGGCATATGAAATGCCTTTTTTGTGCACCCTTTTTCTAAAATTTACTAGAAGAAAGCATCCTAAGATAGCCTGGTTGCTTCCTTGTGAACAGTGGAGTGTGCAAATCCGCCTGAAAAAAATATATCTATGCCTCGAGAGAAAATAAAAATTGTGAACTATGAGTCATCACTTTTTATGTTTCACTTTTCTTATAAAAATGGTGTGGTGCCAATCACATAACTAGCAATGTTTGTGCACTCTCTGCATCACCAGGAACACCTGTACAAAATTTGGTTGCAATACAGTAACTGCAAACGGTGAACATTGTGTTCACAAACTCCGAAAACAAGCAGAAATACCAATTTGAGAAAAACGCAAATGAAAGTTTAGTTTTATGAGACATACCTAAATTCTCACTCAAACTGCACAAAACTTGGTGGTAATATAGTTCTAAATGTCAGAGCCTGGACCGCAAAACTAGAATTCCCCCGCTGCATTGCACAGCTCCAGAAAAGATGCCAGTCCCTTACGCGTAATGGCCGATTCCTGGACGGCGAGTTTGCACTTTCCACAAGTCGAGCATGCCATGCCACTGATAAAAGCTTTCGTCACGTCGATCTCGCAGATCGCAGTACTTGCATGCTCATCTCCAGCTCTCCCTCCGTTTTCAAACATCCTGATCTTCTTTTCCGATGCACTAACGAACTTGTCAATGCTGCCGATGAAACTCGAGCGATCGTACTCGGAAGCGTTGCCGGGTCGCCCTGACCAAGGTTAGGGTTAGGTGCCGCGAATGAACTTCTCTTCTTTGAAGCTTTCCGCTTGCCCTGTTTGAGACTTCCTTTGAACCTGTGTGTAGTCTGAAACTTCAGAGCTCGAAAGTCGCATTTTCGGTCGACGTCCTTTGCAAAGGATGCAGGATGATCGAACAAGACGTTGGTCTTGGTTTCAGGAGCAGTGCAACGCTAAAACAGCAAGCAAGCTTCGCCGCTCAGCACGTCGCTTTCGGCCAATGGCAGGGCCACAGTCGCTGCACGTGATTTAAAGGGCCAGTGGCGACGCGCATCTGCAGCGGGGAAAAAAATTTATTTCTTATTATTTACAACCAGAATACGAAACTATTCATGACAGTTTCGGAGTGAAAGGGGTAGGCCTATGCGCCGAAATAAACGCAATGGCGGGCGACGCCACGATAAAAAAAAATCAACCACTCGAAAATGGCTCATATTTGCACTGTTTACCATCGCGAGAAGGGCTTCAAACTCGTATCTTTTTGCGATGATAACCGGTCTGGATCTTTTTATACGCAAAAGAGGACGGTTCAAAGATAATAAAACACTAAAAAATTAAAAATCACTTTTTTGAAAAGTCACCGTTTTTTTATTTGCATTGTTCCTTGGCACTTAAAATTATGTTGTAACGAAGGAAGTTCCGTCTCGTTTGGTCTTTTTGCATGCGGGCGGGCTTGCTTGCTCATGCAAAATTTGTAACACTAAAACTCAGTATTGTTTTATGGCCCCTTTAAGCCGCTACTTCAGACGCAACTCTGCCGAGCATCTGTAAAAAAAAAATTAAAAAAAGTTTACGGCATTATTTTACCACAAAGATAGCTGCATATTGCCGAATGCTCACTCTCAACTTAAGTGATAATAATAACAGCAAGAGCCTTAGTGGTCCGAATTAAAAAGTTGGGATTTTCAGAAATTTTAATTTGGAAAGTGGCACCAACTACTAGAGAACAGGTGCCATTTTCTCACTAAAATTCCCAAAAATCTCCTCTGAGCAGGATTTCGTGTTTTGGGGGGTTTTTTTTCTTCGAATTCGGGAATATTTTTGGGGGTTTATTTTTTCCCGTGGATTTTGCGCATCTCTGCGTTTATTTTCGGTGTCAGACAAAAATCGGGGTGTATCAGGGCCTATTTTGAAGAAAATAGGACATGGAATTCCCCAGCCCCTAAAGAACATGAGTGTACCCTGAACACTTGAAAAACATCCCTGTACGGATAAGAGAAGGAAACAAAGTATGGGGTAGAACTCTGCATGGGCCCAGGGCCAACCTGAAAGCTCGGGTCAGGCCGGGTAGCACGCATTGTCCTCGAGCATGGGTTGGGTGTTCAGACGGGACACACTTGTACCGTCGTTAGCACACGAAGGCAATACATGAACAACTCTCTCTCTGTTTTTTTCGCCTCAATAGTCTTATTCAACAACATGTTTACCTTGCTAACTGACTGATACAAGAGCCATGTGCCTAAGCATGTAGCTCTTTAATGGTGAATTCCATTGGTAGATTCAGATGGGTTTTCAAAATCCGCGACAGAGGAGAAGGAACAGCTCCTTGGCACCCGGTCAAAATCGACGAGCTGAAGATGGAGTCGCATTTCTGGGGCGACCTGCCGGAGACGGTCTGTCGTTCAAAATGGTCACTTCTTGAACTTGCCCGAGCTCGAACTTGACAAGTTGAGTGAAATTTCCGACGACCAATTGCTACTGTCGCCGTCCACCGGCAGAAGGAACACCCGGCACGGGTCGAGCGCATTGTCCGAACCACGGTGTGCATGCCGCCGAGAGAAATAGGTCCGCGTTTGCCGCCTTCACATACATTTCGGCCGCCCTGGAGTTCACCAGGCCGGGCTCGAATCGGGCAAGATTTAGAGTTGGCGGGCCCGGGCCGGGCCTCAAAAAGTAGGCCTGTGCAATGCTCTGGTGTGGTTTCCAAGAAAAGAAGCAGCCTTTCGGATAGTTTAGCGAATGCTCTATTCTAAGTTAACGCAAAATAAAACTGTAGATAAATATTTTCTCCAATGAAGCTTGTTTTATTTTTTCTTTCAAGGACAGCTTCGATTCGGCGTTTCTCTATTTTCCCCCATTTTTCATAAAATTGTTTCGGGAGCTAATTTTCAGGGTTCGTTGATGTTTTCTGAACACACGGAACCCCACTTATAACGTTTTTACTCGGGTATCGGCAAGCTCTGAAACTTTGGCATCTGGTCCAAACCGCTAGTGCTACGTTAGGGCTAAAGCTGAGCATTCGGCAATGCATAGTAAAAAAAACGAAACAGTTCAAACTTCTTTTCTCTATACACCCGGTAGACGCCTGTTGCACAAAAACCTTCTTCGTCTACGTGTGCGAGCATAGGCAACATTGCTATAGACCTTTGCAACTCAAGAAGGTAGGGCGAGGGAAAGGGAAGTCGGGGAGGAGGAATCAGACGAATGCTGGAGAGGGGAGGAGTTTTCCCCCTCTCCTCTCCAGCATTTCGTCTGCTTCTTCCCCAGCCTTCCTGTCCCTCGCCCTACCTTCTTGAGCTGTAACTTACTACAGGTCACAACCGGTTGGCAAGCTTCCTAGAACATCTGGCGCCTTTTCGTGACGCGTCCACCCATATGGGCAGAAGGGTCAGTACCGGTGGAACGTTGGGATGCACTTTGCCTGCCGTCGAAAGTGATTCCATTGCGTTTTTTATGGTGAACGTAGAGTTGGCACAAAAAGAGCACACCGCGATATCCCGTGAGATGCCCGCCCCACCCCGTAAAGATAACCTGCCCCCTATATTTGGTTAGATTTTCCTTTTTTTTTTTAAATACCGTAAGATAGCCCATTTTTATTAATCATAGTGGTCGAATCAAGGATGGTTTTGACGCAAATGCGGCTAGTTAGCTATGGCGGGAAGTAGGTGAACATTGCTGAATGGGAAGTACATTCATCTTTGCTTCATTGCCCCTCACCACAATGACATGTTTGGCAGAGACACATAATCTAAACATAGCATTTTTTTCAACTTTCCTCGATTGCACGCCGAAAGTTAGACCCACTCCTCATTTCCGACCGATTTGCTTTCGATTTTAGGTGGGCTATCTCTCGGGATACAATCAAATCTCATTAATTCAAACTTGCGGATAATTTAAACTAACACGCAGGTCCCACCCTATGCGCCTCTATGGGAGAAAACTCCTGGTAATTCAAACTTTGCTTTATTCAAACAAATTTCTAGTCCCCCTCGAGTTCCAATTATTGAGATTCGTATTACGGTAGTTCAAAAACGCTCCTTTGCTCACGTGCGGGCGACTGGGAAGTACCGTTTTCGAACCACGCTCTTCCTAGGAGCTTGTCAACCGCTAGATCAAAGAATGTGGACCGCAGGTGCAGTGTGGAGAACGCTTACCTGGAGGAGAAGGAGGACACCAGCCTGGCCCTGGGGCAGATGGCGGAGAACATGGGGCCGGCCTTCGTGCCCTTCCTGGACAACTGCTTCACCCAGCTGCTGTTGGTGGCAGACCACCCGTCACCCGACGTGCAGAAGGCGGTACTGTCCTCCCTCGCCAAGCTCACCGTGGTCCTCGCCCAATTTGCCGCCTCCGGGGTTCCAGGCGCCACGGGACAGATGACAGGTGGCGGCGCAATTTCTCTCTTCGTTGGAGGTCACCTGTCACTGTTAAAAGCACCGGCTAGGTCATAGGGTCAATGTGTTAACCTAGAAGGAAAAGTCTTGCGCATTTCGGCCGTTTTGAAAAAGCGGCACGTAGACACGGGCATTGGCAGTCCCAGCAGGGGCAGATTTAGGAGAAAAGGAAGGGGGGGGGGGGGGGGGGGGGGGGCGACCGCGCCCCTCCTTCCTTTCCCTATAAGCCCCCAAGGTCAACTTTTTTTTTAATAGAACAATTGATATATGCCAGTTAAACATTTAATTTTTGGTGACATTGCAAATATTGGGTCAACAAAATAGATCTGGGCAATGTTTTGGTCGTAACTTTTTTACTCGGTAAACTCCCCCCCCAGCCAACCAGCCAAATGCCCCCCCCCGAGCCTGTCCCATAAATCCACCCCTGGGTCCCAGTGGGCCCCTATTGCTGGCGACGCTTAAACGTACACAGAGGTGGCAAAACATCACTTGCAAGATGTGTATCTAATGTTTCTCTAGCTTTATTTTGCACAAAATGCAGCTTGGTTGCTTACATTTTGAGGGATATGGGGTGTGCTTTTTGTAGGATTTACAGACACGTTTTAAAGAAGATTTGAAAGCTACATTAATGTGTTCTGTGCAAGTAAGCTATATGTCAAGGGGTAATATAGGAGGCTAATCATCACGGTAAGTCAGTTAATATTTGTTAATTCACTTTTCAATTTGTGAAAATGAACAAATGTTTATCTTTTTGTTTTTAAGGATATACAGAAAAAGATAAACACATAATTTCAGTTAGAAACTTGTCTAGCATCATCAAAACCGCTAAATTAGTCAGTTTTAGGAACCCTCGGTTGGAGTGGATGGGAAGTGCGGTAGTGCACTAAAGGCTGGTGGTGTAAAAGCACAGCTGCACAGTTTTTTTCTCTCCTATCATCCAAGTTGTTGCATTGCCAGCTTTGCACCCCTGACACGAGTGGTTACTTCAGCGCACCCGCATGCTTCCCACGTGCTCCGAGTCTGAAATTTACTAATTTAGCAATCTTCAGTGTCTCTCAGCAAGATTCTAATAAAAAGTCATATCTTTGTCTTCACTAATTAAAAAGTTACTTAGCAGTTAAAAATTGTAGAGCTTTTCCAATTCACGTGAAGATGGAGGATCAGCGAAACTGTTTTTTTTACGACAATGCCAAGAGGACGACGTTTAGGACTACTTCGGGGACGACGCCGAGAAGACGACATCTTGGACGACCTCCAGGACAACCTCAAGGATGACTTCTAAAATGACCTCGAGGACGCCGCCTAGAGGATGAGGTCTAGGACGACCTCAAGGATGGCTTCTAGCACAACCCCGAGGACGACACCTAGAGGATGACCTCTCGGGCGATCTCAAGGACATCTTTGAGGACGATTTCTAGGACAGCCTCAAGGACGACGTCTAGGACGACCTCAAGGACAATGCCTAGTAGACGATGCCTAGTATGACCTCTCGGACGACTTCTAGGACGACCTCGAGGACGATGCCTAGAGATGATAACAAGGGATCAGGACCTCTCTATCTAATAATGCCAAGGAAGGCTGACTCTTGCTGGTTGCTCTTTCTTTTTATTTTTTTTATTCATACTTGCCATGACCAATAGGGAGTTTTCTGTCAACATCTGCGGATGCATTTTTTCCCAGATCCTAATGCATAGCAGCTTTGCTGTAAAAGTTAATTAGCATTTCGACGTATTGTAACGATTAGCCCCCCATATTATGTCCCCCCGGCTGTGAAACTCGCTTGTACAGATTGCACAAGTGTAGCTTTCATGTTTTTTTTAAGCCAAATCTGTAAGGCCTGAAAGAGATCCAGTGTAATGTGTGCTGTCTGGTGGCCGTTTCAGACGTGCAGAAGGCGGTGTCCATCCTGATGCCCAAGCTGATCGAGGTGTGCCAGACGGAGCCTGAGCGGGAGCTGGTCATTGGGGCCTTGGAGACTCTGGCAGTGCTGGTCAAGGAGCTCAAATCCGTCGCGGTCGAGGATCCCAAGCATGTCGAGCACATCGTCAGCCTCGTTAGAAGTGCCTTCAACCACAAGGTGAGTGTCGGCATTTACTGGTGCGGGGAGCAGCAATGGCTCTTAAGAGGGAGCGCTCCTCCAAGCCCCATAGAGAATACACGCGATTTTCTGCCATTTTACGAAAATTCTCATTTAATAACCGTTACACCGATTTTTTCAAACTTTTTTGCTATAAAAAGATTGATTCTTCGTCCAACTATCCCACCGAGCATATTTTTCATAAAAAAATTTATTATATTTTATATTAAATCGTGAAATCGGTCGGAATTGGCTGTTTTGACATGTTTACGTTAGAACGCGTTTCTAAAAACCTGTGAATTTTTAACTACAAATGTGTCTGGTGGGATATCTGCGGAATTTAACACGGAATTCAATTATATTAAAATTATAGCTGTAAGTACATCCGTTCTTTAACTACATCGAAAAAACTCAACCAAGGTGTTGTGGCTTGTTTTCCTCGTTTGGACGGTCAAGACTAGTTCGACGAGCGCCGCGTGAGGGCGCCACCATTTCGCCACGCACGCTGCTCTGATTTTGTATTACTCCGCGCGCATGCGCTCTTCAGTAACGCGCTTGTGGTGGTCCAGAGACGGCAAGACCCGTCCAGGCAGAGTGGTTTTGTTTCTCGGGGTGGGATGTCAGGCGGATAGCTGTGCGTGTTTTCATAACTAGAAAGGCCGTCCTCGCAGCTATGGGTCCAAAGAGGTATAAATATGGCAAGCGAAAGGTCTCGAAGTCGCAAATAGAGTTTGCACGTAAGCGACCCTCTGCTGAAACTACGGATGGTGAGGTTTCAGGTGAGGTTGAGTCATTGTGTCGTCGCGCTGCGAGAACGAATTGACTCGGGGTGTTGAAGATGCCGCTTGGGAAGCCATGCAACAGGCCGGAGTGGAAGAAGCGAGGCGCGCGAAGGAATCTGGCGAGATCGATGCCGAAGGCTATCCGCTTGTTACCGTCGTTGCAGACTGTGCGTGATCAAAGCGATCGTACAGGCACAAGAACGACGCTCCTTCTGGTACGGTAAGTACTACATTTCTTCCTCTAAAAGGGGCGCGAATTTTGATCGTAGATATAATATACATTTCTTTAGAGTGCGTTCGAAAGAAATCCGAAGCATGTTTTTCTCGCCACGAAAATACATTAGTCTCTGTCGCTAGGCTACATTTGGGCGGACGCTGAGCATTTGGCAATGCGTAGTTTATTTTTATGGTGAGATGACCGTGGTTAGAATCCCTCTCTGTTGTATGTGTATTTCTGTGAATGCAAGATTTGTTTCGGCAACTGGGGTGACGATTTCTCACGAAGCACTGGAAACAGTTATGCTTTTTGTGTGCTTGTTTTAGTGACCGCTGTTTTATGTACTATACATTCCGAATATACGCGGTGCCATGCAGTCAGTTCGTCAGACGACGTTTTAGACAGCGCGTTTCTTCGAAGCTGCACTTTTTCAAGGATAAATCGTTCCATCGGAAATAGCCGGCGTTCGTTTCATCGATACACCTTGTGACGTTTCGTCTAGTTTTTCTATTATGTGCGTGCTCGCGCTTGCGAACGTAATTGCGCGTCCGTGTCTGCTTGCGTGTGCGCCTGCATGAGCGAGGATGCTTATGTGCGTGCCCCCCGTGCACATGCGTGTTTTCATGTTTACGCGTGAGTATATATACCCGCGTATCTGTGTGCGTGTTATACGTGCATCTGCGTGCGTGTTTGCACGCGTGGGCGTTTGCCTGCTCATAAGTGCGCGTGCCTGTGCGAGTGCGCGCGTGCACGTGCGTGTGTAATTCGTGCGTACGTGTGCGCGGGTGTGCTTGTGCGTGTGTACGTGAATTTGCATCCGTGCCTGCGCGTGCATCCGCGTATCTGTGTTCGCGCATGCGTATGAGTGCCTAATTCGTGCGTGTTTGAGTGGGCGCATGCATACTTGGGCGTACGTGTGCCCAAGTACGCACGTTGTCGGACTTGCGGGTAAGGTTCGAGAAGCTCGAACCTGGTCGAACTCGAACGTCGGCCGGTTCGCGACACCTTTAGTACTCACGTTGCGGACGGTTGGTGATTGGCCGCTGATAACTTCACCGTAACTTTTTGCTTTATGTTTAGCGCCATTTTTTATATTTTTTATTCGTGCGATTGTAATCTTTTGCGATTAAACTCTCTGTACCCTTTCCTTGTGACCTATGAAACGATCTCGAACGCCTCGAACAACAGCGACGCTTGCGTTCGTTCTCGGGGCTAGTAGGCAAGGAGGTTACAAGTATTTATATGACGTCAGACTGCCTTTTGATGCCGAGTCACAACACAGAAGTATGGCCACCGAAGGCAAAAGCAGTTATCCCATTGGCGTGTTTGCTTTGTCTTTCAATTTTCACAACTCTCCCGAATCAGTTTTGCTTTATCGTTTGGTGGTCATGTTTGTGGGCGATGACTCAGCACGTGACTAGACCCTATAACCGTTCATGGTGTTTTTCTCTGTTTTTATTTTTTAGATTGAACGATTCTGCTGCAGTGTGGAACGAACTACACGAAAGTGCTCAACCTTCTACGAAGTCTTCCGAGGAGCAGAACGTGTGGGGATCAGGACTATTGGAAGATATGTTCTCAAGTCATGAAAAACTGTCCGGTCGCCAATCATTACAAATTGTATATGAAATACTATAAGAAACAATCAGTGTCGCGAAAAATTGTATAAAAATACTTTGTTGTGCAGTGCTGGTGGCTAGTTGTGATGAAGTAACGAAGGTATATGCCGGTAGTTTGTCATATATGTATTCGATTATGTATTTATTTTTAAAGTACCTAATATACAGTGTTGTTTTTACTTAACTGGAACGTGTTTTTCTTTTAAAAGAGGGGGAGGCATTTACCTTAGTGCCGTATTCACTGTGCCTTTAGGGGGCTCGGCGAACACTACATGGGAGATCATTGTAGCGATAAGCTGGGTGGGTAAATAACTAAAATCTGCTAATCAAGTTTCCCACGAGCGGGTTTATAGCTCGTATTGCAATTATATATTTAAAGTCATTAGACGGTAAATAAATTTGGACGTATTGCTAAAACCCAAAGGGATTTTAAGTATCTAGGTTTTCAGTTTTTTTATGGCCAAAACATAATTGGCTCGTTTGGCCACGGGAATCGCAGTACCGCTATTTCTGCATAATTGAATAAAGCAATCACTCGCTAACACATCGTACAAAATAAATAGCGTGTTAATTGCAAACACAATGTTTATAGTGAGAAATAATATTCCGGAGCGCCTCTCGCGGCACAGATCATTTGAGTGTTTTATCAATGCCATTTATGTAATACAGTATCGCGAGAAATATATTGTGTAATTAAAAAAATATTTATTATATATTGACAGTGCTACTGGCGAACTCTCCACGCCGGTCCACTTGTAAAGACGGATTTTGAAGTAATGTCTTGTGATTGTCTTTGTCGCCTCGTGTCCCATATGTTTGTAGTTGACAAGTGTTTATTTGAATCCACGGTCAGTGCATTCAACCGTACGTTCAGTGCAGTTTCGCTTATTTTGCTCGAATTATTAAATTTGCATTTGTTTTAATTTTCTTCCCTTTAGTTGTGTCTGTGCGCCGCTGTTTTTACTCACATGAACACATATACAGGGTGATCCTCGAATCAGCCGGGACCCCTTCAACCGTCGCCGCGGACCACAGTTTGAGAACCGCTGAACTAAGATGTGCTAAATATCTCGAGTTAATTCCGTGATTCGTCATGTTGCAACTGCTGTTTTAGAGACAACTAATATGGGCGGCTTTATCTTGGTAGTGTACTTTGAAACGAGTTTAAATTTATCCTACTCGGAATTCGTTTTATCGTTTGGAAGAGCAAGGCTGATGGATTTTTACGACTCGTTAGAGCATGAATGAACTGGCTTAGAAATAATTACTGAACAGTGAGAGCGTCTCGTGAATTGGACTATTGGGGAGCGGATCGAAATATAGGGGCCGCTTTGTCTAGATTGTTGTCCACACAGTTGGGTGTTTATTTTGAGAGCATACACGTTGGTTATGCTCTGCAAGAGCCAGATGGGCTCTGCAAGAGCCAGACGAAGATTAAACATTGCGACGGCGAGGACGCAAGCCCCGCGTCGCCGTACGTGACGACGGACGACGTTCTTTCCCACGAACAACGGCAGTGCATCTTCAAACCGAGAGTACTGCGCGTGGTTGCCCGACCGATCCTCGCTTCAAACAACGTGCCCATTCGCGGAGCGAGTTTCTTGGCCGTTGCACGCACCTTACGATGGACCGGAACTGGAGCTACAAGTCGTAGCAGCCAATCCAGCGCATATGAACGTGCCACGCGCCTCGTGCTTCGTTGTGTCTGTCCTAAAGCTGACGTGACGCTCACGCGGCATTGGATTGGCTCCGATAGCTCGTAGGGTCCTCTGCGGTCCATCGTAAGGAGAAACGGAACATACCACGAACCCGGGGCAAAGGAGGGTCGACGAAGAGAGGTAACGAAGGGGGAAATAAATAAAAACAAAAACACGCAGAGAAAGAATGAGAGAGAGAGAGTGAGGAGACCCGGCCGCGCGCGTGGAAGACCTGCAGTTGTCTGCGCCCGCGTTTACGCGGCAGGCTTTTGCGGGTTGATTTCGCGGGGAGCAGGCGTTTTTTCTTTTTCTTTTTTGTCTCGCCACCGTTAATAGGGTGCCTTCGTACACATTCGCTTGTGCGGAGTGGCGACATCTCGGCGATTTCACTGCCCGACCTTTTTTTTTTTATTTATTTATTTTATTTTTTTGTTTATGCAGAGTATACGTGCTTTGGCATCTCTCGGTGCGAGCCCGCAATTTTGGCTATAGACGAGCGCGCGAAGACCGCCCTGTTTACAAACACGGTTTTTGCTTTGCCCACACCGGGTGTGGGCACTGCGGAATCGCAGCGTCTCGTTTTTGAAGAGAAGCCGCCTCTGCGTGGTGCGCCGTACTCAAGGCAGCGCCACCGCAGAGGGACGGCGTCGGAGCCGCGTGTCGGTGTATATACTTCGTTTCACGT